ACATTTTCAAAAGTTCAGTTGAAAAAGATCTATGTTTTTTACAATATTTTAAGTTTTGAACGCCCCCTATATAAGGGGAAATTGTCCAATTTTAATAAAAAGTATGTCAAATGAAAGATGTACTTATAATGTATTTAGAAAAAAAAATTTGTGCTGATATATACATTTTTCAAAAAGTTATAGCATTTTTAAGTTGAAAATTTAAAATCGAAAATTTTAACACAAAAATAGTGTTTTTTTAACTACGGCAGCCGTTTAAATGTAGAAGAAAAAGTGTCGGGACAAATTTTTTTTTTTCATTTTGTAGTACATAAAATAAGCTTTAATTTGATATATGTTTAAAGGACGCAGTATTTCCGGAACATTTTCAAAAATTAAGTTGAAAAAGTTATTTTTTGTAAAAAAGTTGCCATTTTAAATCCCCCCCAATGAGCAGGTTAAGTGATAGATTTTCAAAAAAAATGATATCAAATGAAAGGTAGATATCTAAGGTTTTAGTATAAAAAAAAATTATGTAGATTTGTTGATTTTTCAAAAAGTTATGGAAGTTTTAAGAAAAAAAAGTGAAAAAANAAGCATGTTGAATGAATATTTGATTTTTTGAATTTCAAAAGTTTAGTTGATAAAGTTGTCATTTTAAATCACCCCTGTGGGCAGGTTCAGATTTATAAAAAAAATATACTAAATGGAAGGTAAAAACATCATGCATCTATAAAAAAAATTATATTGATTTGGTCATTTTGAAAAAAAAATATGGCACTTTTAAGTAAAAAAAAATAGAAAAAATGTCGAAAATTAGCGATTTTTAAGTTTGTAATTTTTTTGGAGATTCCCCCCATTTACAGGGAACGAGGGAAATTTTTTCAATATTTGAGAGTAATGTCTTCGACTAGATACGATTTGTGATCTTTTGACGTATTTTTGAAGGAAATAGGTTCGGTGAGAGATGAGAAAAAGTAGTAACAGACACAAAAAAAAACACATCATAGTAAAGTGAATAACTTCTCAGCTTAGCATCGAAGCCAAAATTAACTTTTAAAATATTTTTTGTAATTGCAAAAAATAACATAAAATATATTTTAAATATAGTTCAATATTCTAAAAATTGATTAAAATAAAATAAGTATAAAATGTTATGTAGATCATAAGTTATATGAGCTGTCGGTTAGATCTGTTCCACCTTGTATATATTTACTAAAAATAGTATGTAGAATTTTATTATATAATCAGCTGTCAGGAGTAACACTTAAAATTAGCTTTATGGTATTGTTTTAATCTGCTATTCGCAAAATTCGAGGAATTGAATTATCGAGTTTAAATTATTAATGATGACTCCTGATTGTTACTAAAAGTTCGATTTCACACAAAGCTGACAAATACACATGGGATAGCGAAATCAGCGGAGAATTTTGTAGTCTCGTCAAGTTGATCAAAATCTAATAGTAGCGGCTAGTTCATTTTGCATATTATCCTAATGAGACCTTTGTTTAAAACAACAATTACGTCAATGGTAACATTAACCGTAGCTTGAACACTTCATATTGACACTTAGTTGACATTTCCAAGATAAAGATTTTGTATCAGGATTTTATAAGGTAACGTCCAACGAATCTTCATGAACAATATGAACAATATTGGATCGGTATTTTCTAATAATTATCAAAATTCTGTACCAGGGATTCATAAACCTAATGTGTGCGTTTATACGTTCAAGTGTCTCGAAATTATGTCCACTCTATCACCGACTATTTTTAAATTGTCATCGGGACAATTCAATAGACATCCAAATGAAGTTTCTTGACGGTAATCTCATGAGTTCCTGGTACTAAAATTTTTTTTTCATCCGAAACATAATAATCAACACATACTATTATGGTATCCAAAAATCCGAAGATCGAATCATAATCACTATAGCTCGATAAATGATAATAAAAAATGAGCACCTGTTTATTTAAACCTATCTAAATATCGTCTATTTGACGATATTTATCACGGTGTTTTATTGTATAACTTTAATAAAATAAGATTAAAGGTCGTTCTAACTTATTGTCTTACATAAATAACAGAAAACAATGTTAATATAGTACTTTGTAAAATGCTAGACAAACAGAGAATTTTTGGTGTTAAAATTGAATACCATATTATTTATAATCAATTTAAATTTTTCTTATGGTAAATTATTTTAATATGAGAAACATTAAGTAATTGTATGCACAATTTTCTAATTTATAAAAATAAAACATACAAATATTATGTATTTCTCTTTAACGCGAGGATTTTTTTCTGAAACCATTTTGTGGACTACTTAAAATATGCTGACTTCAGTTATAAATATAGTTTTGATCAATAATTTGACTTATAATTGTAAAATATTCACATTTTTTATAAACCTTAAAAATAATTAAGAAACTAAGATGAAAAATAAATTATGAGTAAGTATAAGTATCAGAAAAAATCTCAACCTAGAATAAATAAATTTTTGTTATACTAATTTACTTAATATTTCAATGTGTATTTTCATGAATAGCACAGCCTTCTTAATAATATTAAAGATAAATAATCTTGATATTCTTAATAAATATATATATATATATATCTACAACTTAATAATAATAATAAACCCAGCACAGGGGGGTCGCGGCACAGTGGTGACGTGGTATAGATGGATCAAGTATAATGATATCTGACAGTGATTAAAATCACTATCATAAAAAACGCTTCGATGCAAATCTTTAGATACTGTTTTATTTTAAAAAATTGGTGGATTATTCCAAAAGCTTCATAAACTGCTAGTTCCTTATTAATATCCTGATTAAGATAAAGTATGTCGAATGAAAAAGGGATTATTAAAAAATAGTATTTCCCATAAAAAAATTATATTGATCAATACACTTTTCAATAAGTTATAGCTTTATAAAGTTAAAAATGTAAAAAATAAAATTGAGAATTTTCACACAATAATAGCATTTGGTAGCCATTTTCACCGTGAAGACAAAATAAAGTCCGAAATTTTTTTTTTACATAATAAAGTAGATTACATTAGCTTTAATTTAATATATATATAAAAGTGTCAGACTTTCCGGAACACTTTCAAAATTTAAGTTGAAAAAGTCAATTTTTTGTGAAAAAGTTGTCATTTTGAATCCCCCCCTGTAGGCAGGTAAAAAGTCAGATTTATAAAAAAAATATACCAAATGATAGGTAAAGACATCATGCATCTACAAAAAAAAGAATTATATTGATCCATACATCTTTCGAGAAGTTATAGCATTATAAAGTTAAAAATATAAAAAAGAATTTTTTTACAAAAATCGTATTTTTTTTATTAAGTTTAATGTCTGTTTTCACCATGAAGATAAAATAAAGTCCGAAATTTTTTTTTACCATTATAAAGTATATTACATTAGCTTTAATTTAAGATATATATAAAAGTGTCAGACCTTCCGGAACACTTTCAAAAGTTACGTTGAAAAAGTTCTACTTTCTATATGCATTTTTATGTTTTGAATCCCCCCTGTATTTAGGGAAATGGTCCGATTTAAAAAAACAGTATGTCGAATGAAAGATCTATATAAATACTACTTCTCATAAAAAAATTGTAATGATTCATACATTTTTCAAAAAGTTATAGCATAATAAAGTTAAAAATGGAAAATACAAAATCGAAAATTTTCACACAAAAATAGCATTCGGTAGCCATTTTCACCATGAAGATAAGATAAAGTCCGAAATTTTTTTTTTTCATGATAAAGCATATTACATTAGCTTTAATTTAAGATATATATAAAAGTGTCAGACCTTCCGGAACATTTTCAAAATTTAAGTTAAAAAAATTAATTTTTTGTGAAAAAGTTGTCATTTTAAATCCCCCCTTGTGGGCAGGTTAAGGGTTAAATTTATGAAAAAAATATACCAAATGAAAGGTAATGATATTATGCATCTATATAAAAAAGAATTATATTGATATGTTTATTTTTGAAAAAGTTATGGCACTTTTAAGTAAAAAAAATTGAAAAAATTTCGAAAATTAGCGATTTTTAAATTTGTAATTTTTTTGGAGGTTTCCCCCATTTACGGGGAACGAGGGAATTTTTTTCAATTTTTAAGGGTAATGTCTTCGACTAGATACGATTTGTGATCTTTTGACGTATCGTTGAAAGAAATCCGTTCGGTGAGAGCTGAGAAAAAGTGGTAACAGACACAAAAAAAAAAAAAAAAAATAAACACATCTTAGTAAAACCAATACCTTCTCAGCTTCGCATCGAAGCTAATAAGTAATAAAAAAATGATTATATAATAATCATTTGATATAACAGAATTGTGCAGTAAGTGTAGATAATACACCTAAAAATTAACATGATAAAATGCATTTAAGTCAGTAGAAAGACTACCTACAAATGAAACTAATTCATATGGGAAAATGTATTGACTAAACTATGATAGTACACGTTATAGTTACTTATAATAGTATTTTTATAAACAATCATAAATCCTAATTTTATTTGGAATAATAAAATTTTAATTGAAAATATCTATTGTGTTTAAACATCAAATATTTTGAAGGAACTGTTATAAATCTTCGTAGTACATACGAAAAATTCGATTAAAATAAGAGATTATACTGTATTTTTATTTTAAATATTCAGAATAATCAAAATGATTGATCAAATATTAAAAATATTAAGGATTTGAAATATTGTTATTAGGTAAAGACGAAATTTAAAGAAAAATTTTAAATTAGATTTTCTTTCTCTCTGTGAATAGTTTTGTATTTCATTTCATGCAAATTTTATAAGTTTTTATCTTTAAGAAAATGTAGCCCTTCAGATTCCGCCAATAATACTTGTAGGAATGATAGAGAAAAAACGTGTACGTTAGTAAATTTAAGTAAAAGCAAGTAATTAATAAACCATTTTTATAAAATTTTATTATTAATTTTTAATAACAAATTATTATGGGAATGATATTTTATCAATACTTAAAAGTGATTGATACTAAAAATAATACAATAATAAAAAACTATGTTTCTGTTATATATAAAATTGCACAAAAAAATATATGAAAAAAATATTTCTCAATAAAAGAGAATTTAACTACAAAAATGTAGTAATTTGATCGAATGAAAGTATAATCACATTATAATAGTAACATAAGCACATGTTAAACCTTAATTTCAGTATTATTACGATATAAAAAATATATAAAAAAAATAAAACAAAAGTAATAAAACAATATACCAAAAATTAATTTTTGTTAACTACAACGAAAATTGAAAATAAGAAAAATAAAAACTCAAAGGCAACAATAACTTTATTCAACAGTCACAGACTTAGCCAAATTCCTGGGACAGTCAACGTTACATCCTCGCATGACAGCAATGTGATAAGATAACAATTGCATTGGTATGACAGTCAATAATCCCTAAAATAAGATGAAAATACAACAATGTTTTTATCCATAGCAAAAAAATAATCGTAAACACCTGTAAACAATCAACTGTGTGTGGCACATCAATAGTTTGCCAAGCCAAATTTTTAATTTCCACGTCATCTTTCTCGCATATTACAATTGGACGACCTTCGCGAGCCGTTACTTGTTGCAAAGCGTTTATACATTTCTAAATAATACATTTTTATTAATTTTAATAAAATCTGATTATAACCCATGTCATTTTTCAATTGCATACCTTATACACAGGATCTCTTGTCATAATCATTATGATTGGCATTTGTTTATCGATGAGAGCTAAAGGACCGTGTTTCAATTCACCAGCTAAAATACCTTCACTGTGTAAGTAGGTGAGTTCTTTGATTTTCTAAAATAATAACATGAATTATTAGGTAGTCAGTTAGTTTGAATAATTAATACGAACCAAAGCTCCTTCTAAACAAGTAGCATAATGATATCCTCTTCCCATCACTAACAAAGATTTCTTTTGATAAAGTGATTCGGCTAATTTCATTACTTTATTGTCAGTAGCCAATACCTCTCTAATTTGTTCAGTAATATTTTCTAGGCCCCTAATAATCTATAAAAAATCATAATTTAGTTTAAAAAAATTAGCTATTCAATTATAATAAATATAGGGTTTTAACCGAAAGTAATACTTAATTCGTACAGTTAATTTAAATTATAGAATAATTTTTCCTTTTTTTTTTTTTAAGTAATATGTAGATATTTTAGTAATAAGTGCTCTCAAGATTCTTACCTCATTTCTCCTAGGTTGCATGGATATGCGATCTTCTGACATCACCAAACCAAACATGACTAATGATATGAACTGTGAAGTATAAGCTTTTGTAGAAGCCACACCAATTTCGGGTCCGGCATTAATATGAATACCGCAATGAGATTCACGACTGATAGAACTGCCTACCGTGTTAGTTACTCCCACAATTAAAGCTCCGCGTTGTTTGCAATACCTCAGTGCCAATAGAGAATCAGCCGTTTCTCCTGTAACAAATTCATACGTTATACTTAATCATAAGACATAAATTTATAACACCTGAAATTATTTAAGGTATACTTACCTGACTGAGATAAAAAGAAGCAAACGTCGTCTCTGAATACTGGAGTGTTTCGATCCAAAAAATCTGAAGCTAATTCTACTATAACCGGCAATTCTGTAAGCTCTTCCAACAACTGACGCGTGGCCACTGCGCTGTGGTAGCTTGTACCACATCCAATCATCATTAAACGACGACACCGTTTTATCTCCGGAATATAATCCTGAAATATAATGGTGAAACCCTAGTTAATTAACTACTAAAAACCAAGGTAAACCAGTTGAAATTTTTAAGTTTTCTTTCGACTTTTGCACGTATTTCATGTAAAAAGATTTATTTACAATACAGCGATAGCAACAGGAGGTGCTATCGCTGAAGTGTGATGATACTTATTTTCAATTAACGCTTAATGTTTTGGCTTTCAAAAGTTTTACGAAGTCATACAATATTAACTGACAGGCGGGGAAAAGATGATCGTATCGAAAATTTACATTTCAAACAGCTTTTATTGCTACTGAATTTCTTCAAAATTCTTATAGAGGCAGCCGGAAAATTGTTCGGTTTTCTAGCAGCCCCTAACCTCCATTAATTGTAAACGAGTTATTACAATGAATGTTTATGAAGTAAAACACAAATATCAACAGAAAATCTTTCATATTGGCAAGTAAACCGTTCACTTCTATGTTTATAAACTAAAAAATCTTTATAATTGTAAAACCATAAAATAACCTTAAATCATATTGTTTTCGTTTTACTTCTAAGAATTAAATTGTATTACAAGCATACCGCGAATAAAAAAAATCATAAAATTGATGTCGTGAAACTTTGAAATCATGATAGAACATGAAGAACTGGAACTATTAAGAAAGAAATGTTGATACTCATTGTATTGTCTCACTGTTGATCACAGTTTAAAATCTCAAATATATCTGGAAGATTTTTCAAGTCTTTCCAACACATTAATTTAGAATAAAATTTCCCTCGTAGGTAATTTTACTCCCTAAATATTTCTTGTACCTTAATACCACCAAGGACGACCGTCTGATTCTCAAAGTTCACACGACCTCGCATAGTATTTACGACAGATTCAGGTTGTTCGAAAATTTCCTTTTGCATGAAAGAACTAAAGTTTCCTTTCATAATCTGCTGGATTTCCATTTTGAGCGTGGTGATCTCCCGAGCATGAGGATCATCAGTAGACATACGCATTCTATGAATGGTCAATCGCCCTTCTTTTACAGCAGCTACGTCGTCGTCCTAAAATAAAACAAACACATATCATTATACAAAATGTATAATCACTATAGATTATGCAGCGTGAGTCACAATGATACAACATTTCCTATAACTTTTACTCCAGTTAATATATTTTGCTTCGCTTAATCTTTTAAACTATTTTTACACTTTAATACTAATATTTCAATATAATTAATATTAGTATTTATTTTAAACAAAACAAATTAATGTTTTAAAAATTAACGTATTATATTTTTTAATTCGAGATAGCTATTTTTTCAGTAAATTTAAAAAAAAATTTTAGTACAAATTATTTTATTAATGTTTTGTAGTTTAAATTCTGTTGCATTTCAAAGTGTTGAAAATGTTGAATTTTTACATTCTAATTTTATAATATCAAAAGTTATTCATTAGTGAAAGAAAAAATTAGAAGTAAAAACAATTTATTAATGCTGAATTATGATTTTGTTTATGTTTTGTTACTGCATATTTACTACTGAAGATTAATAAGATATTTTGTTAAAAACAATTTTTTTTAAATACTCTATATATTTTTCAATAAATTAAAAATAAAATACTTTTATAGTCCTCATGTATAAAAATGATTTAAAAAAGAAATTAACATAAAATATTAATTGAATCAAGTTATTGAATTATTATTACATATCATTGTGACTCACCTTATATAGTGATACCTCTAATAGTTTTTATTAAAATTTTATTTGACAATTAAAGACTAATGAGATTTATAAATCTAAATTTTACTAGTTGTAATAACCTCTAAGTAAATAACTTGATTAGTGTGTTCGATGATGGCACTAGCGTCTGATGCAAAAAAGTACTCTACTTCTTCTTTATCGCCCAGTGGATGGAATTCAGATGTGCTTTCCTGACGGCCCATTGGAAGTGGAATGGACATTTTGTCACCGCGTATAAACCTAGTGTGTTCTAAAAACAAAAAGCAAAAAAAAAAAGGAATACATCAATCAAGTATCTCAGAATAAATAAATAATAACATGCGCACCCAACATCCTACAAGAGTTCTTAGCGCTATAATGAATAAGCACCAGTAATTTATTATTAAAATAATATTTTATAAAGTTTTGAACTATAATATATTGTGCTACAACGATAATGAAGGATAATAGATATTTCTATGTTATTTTTTGTTTTAAATTTCGTAATTATTATTAGACATAATAGCGAATAATACACATTACTATTCAAAAATTTAGTCATATATATATATATATATATATTTCTTTTTAAGAGTTACATAATTACTTTATATAATACGATTTTATTCCAACAAAGTAAATGTTTACTTAAATAGTTTATATTTTTTTATACATTTACATAAACTATTTGAAGCAAAATTATATATTATGAAAAAAATGATCAGTTATAGTTATATTTGATAAGTATGTCAAAATTTTCGTAAAGATTGATAAAAAATTTCTTTATACATAATGAAATCCCTAGTAATAAAAAACTATACAGTAAAAAAATTAATAATATAATTATTTACTACACTAGGCAATCTAATAAATTATTTTAATTTACTAATTAAAACGGCAAATAATATAATATTAAAATGTTAACTTCAAGTTTCAAAATTTTCAGTTAATTTAATAAATTAAGCATTCATCTTTAAATGTAATAAGAACATACACTATAGTAATTAATAAACTTATTTTTAAACATAACATTCTCATTGTTAAATAATAAAAATAATTATCCTTTGTTAACTTTAAAACCACAAATCTAAATATCTTGAGTATTTCTTTATATATGAAAGTTATTGAGAAATCTAAACATTTTCAAAAATTGTTTCTCTTTTAATTCATTAAATAATCATTAATATTCGTTAAAATATATTAGAAACTAATTTAAATGGATTCACTGTGCGTTTATAGCATACTCAATAGATGACAATAAAAAATTAGGCAACAAAATTGTAATGTATTATATAAAACAAGCATTTAAATAGTTTCCCTAATTAATTGCATTACAAAACGTTTAAGTACTACAACAATACAACAGTGAATGTCGATCATAGAATGCCGTTATATTTGCACCACAACTAGTTTTTAAAACAAACCTGACATTTCGAAAGTCTTCATCTGTACTTGAAAATTGACCATTACATTCTTAAAATATTTATACACATATAATTATTCACACAAAGTATAACCCATTCACCATCAATAATGGTGATGGTCCATTACCATTACTACCACCACAACAGGAGCCATCACCATTATAATAATTTACGAATATTAAATTAGCTGAAGCTAAAATGCGTTGAAAAAAGCAAAATTATTTACACCATTACAATATATTGATTTTTATAGTGTGTGTGTGTACCTGTTAGTGAGAGAGACTCTCCGTCTTTCGTATCTTCAAGTGCCCCACACAAATGGAACAAAAACAAAAACACACCAATTTTCCATTTTAACTAAAAACACTTATTTCCTACTCAAGTTTGAGAGAGAGAAAAGAAACAAAAAACACACATCGTACTCTAGAAAATGTGCTAAAATTACCTTTGTTATACAAAATAGGAATATGATCAGTAGCCAACCTTGTCTCAGACTTGATACCCACCAACAATGGACTACCCCTTCTAGTGGCAACACATTCATCTGGGAATAACTTACTCTTGAAGCAAAGGGCAAACGCACCCTCCTATCAAAAGCAAATTGTTTAAAATAACGAGTGATATTTCGAAAACAAAATTGCGCCATCATACCAATTGCTGTATAGCTTGTTCAATTAATTCTCTAAATTGTAACGTGGGATGCTGTGTATAAATATGGTGCACCAGTTTCACTATGGCTTCGGTGTCAGTTTCAGATTCGAACACGTACCCTTTTCGTTCCAACAGTGCTTTTACTTCTTTGTAGTTAGTCACGATACCGTTATGGACCACGCAAAATACCTGTTCCTTGTCGGATCGTTGGGGATGCGAATTAACGCAACTTGGTACTCCATGAGTGGCCCAACGTGTGTGAGCAATGCCCACATGGCTTTTTTGAATTTCTTCAAAGTCCAATTGATCTTTTACTACAAACAAAAACCCGTCAAGTAGGTTGTAACTTTTCAATTATGTTTTAAATTATTCTATTAATAACTCACAAGCAAACAATTCATCTTCAAGGGCAACCACTTTTCCTTCTTTCTTCACGATCGTAATGTCTTTACCGTCGGGCCCATCGAATGCAATACCTTTTCAAACATACCAATCAAAACATTAGGGAAATTTTTTCTTAAATTTTATAAGTTCAGTTTAACATTTACGCACACAGTAGAACAATCAATAGCAAAAAAAAAACGAAAGACTCTACAATATACAACTATGATACTGTTGTTATTGTTATTATAATAGTTGTGAAAAGAAAGTCATTAAAGAAAAAAATTGACCGCAATGATTCTAAGAAGTCAACATATTAATTTAATGAATAAAGAGATAATTTTTAGACTGGGCACTAGATCATAATAATAAAAATAATAATTCTATAGTTGCATTGAAATCAACTACAATTAAAGTGACGGCGAATTTCACGGTACATGAACTCTAACGAATGAGCGGTCAGTTGTCAAAATAATCTGTAGAATTTCCTTCGGAGAGTTAACGCAATGATTTTTCCATATTATCGAATACGGAAAAATCGTACAGTTATTCAAGCCCCAGGAGACTTATTAAAAATAGCTTTCTATTAAAACTTCAAGAAACCAGACTTCTAGAATAAATCGTATATTTTTTAGTAGATCGTTTTTATCTCATAATAATTTATGTTACTTAGTAGTGATTATAAATCATGAAAGCAAAGCACAAAAATCGTCAGAGCGCCCTTAGGGTCGTAAAATATCTAATGATGAAAAACCATAACCGACGTTTAATGCTCTTGATTCAACGCCAGTATACATAAGACCTCAATGTATTTCCAAGTACTATAGAACTATCTTTCATTGTTAAATACTCACCAGCCGAATCGTAACCCCTGTATTCAAGTCGTTTGAGTCCATTCACCAATAGAACAATGATCTCTTCCCTGGACTTCGGTGTCAGATGATTTAGGTAAGCGAATATTCCTAAGAAATAATATAAGTCGTCACTAACTTTTAAATACAGCTTGATTATTGATTTTAGGTTTTTAACAAGACAGTTATGTGCAAACTTTCCACTATTCTTAAATCACTTGATGGTCTTTATTCTAATATAATTAATGAATACCAACAAAAAGAAAAAAATACTTAAATTTAGTTAAGAAATTGAGTTACTTCATTTCCACAAAATTAAAAAAACCGTCGATTCTTTGTTAATACACTTTGTACAATAACGCAGTGTTAAAATAATATATATATACGCCTACCTACCTATCTCTTAGACAACTTTCAAATAACTTCAATAAAAATATAATTTACTAACATTCTTTATATAAATGGACGAGAAACTGCGAAGAGAAAATTTTCATTTTATTAATGACTACGCCGAATTAAAATATAAAAAAAAAATATATTGTTTTAGTTTTAATTGAAACTACTTAGAAAATAATCTTTTTAATATTAAATAACAAAAAAAAAACGGACAACAGAAAATTTGAATACTTAAAATTTTCAAGGCTAAAAAATCGTATAATTATTTTGCACTTTTTTTGTATTGTTTTTTGACATTTTTATGGGGGGAAATTCTCGTTTTCAATAGTTATGAATCTTACTTTAAACTTGGTCGATTTCCATCCTAGATAATGGTAATAAATTATGTCTTTGGATCAATTCCAAAATCTGTTATGTATAACACGAAATGATGTAATGTTTCAAGAAAGTAAATGGCAAAAGCAACCGGTTAGATCGTGTAGCCCCAGGACGATGGACTCTTTCTAGTTACTATTTTATAAAACATTGTATTTTATATAAATTAATTGATTTTTTAGTTTTCAAACAACACAGAGAAAGCTTTGAACACGATTTTTTCCATCATATAATATTTATGTCAAGTTTTAAAATTTTATATGGAATCAAATTTAAAATCAAAAAATTAAGCCAAAGATATAAGAGTACTCATAGAAAATATTTTACCAATTAAAAAATTTATTAGTTAATTAATTTGTACTCACCGCACATGTCGAGAATGGTATGGTTCAGACGTAAACGGTTATCGGGACAGATTGAAGTGCGCCCAGAACCTCCTGGACGTATTTAAACTGCAGCGGGACGGCCGTATTGCCCCTACTACAAGTTGAGCATAACGCGAGAGCAGTTTAAGGTACGGCTTTGCTAGGTATACGTGACACGGTCTGAGCACAATGGGCGACGTGGCCGAGCCGTCACTGCCTGCCCCTCCACGGGCGTGCGGAGTGCTGGTGAAACGACGACTTCTGTTGCTGTTCGATCCAAAACACGTGCGTGCACTCCTGTAAAAACATTTTTAATTAAAAAAACGACGTTTTTCCTGGAAAATCTTTCATCAATATTTTGACAAAAAAAAAAAAATTGATTTTATCCGCAGAAAAACAACTGAGCAAAAGTACTTCGTTTTGCACCACAAACATGAACACGTGCACATAATCAGGTTACGTGAAACTTTGGGCGAAATGACAAATTATATATAAAAGATTGAAAATAAGTTTTCAATGTGGGATAAAGTCATATAAGACGGTGTATGAAATGGAGGGGCGGATCCAGAATTATTCGATATCAATATCAATTTTTCGCTTATTTTATCTTTCAAAATACTTTTTTTAAGTAGATAATGATAATTCAAAAAGAAGCCACGCACCCTCTGAACTTTCCCTTGAATTTGTCACTGAAGAAATGTGTAGGTCAGATTTTTGGTTTCCCAGGAACTACATTTTTTTTAAACTTTTTTTAGTATATAATTTAGCTTCTGAACTTAATATTTAAAATTTAAGCGCTGAATATAAGTGATTTAAAGAGAATGTGTACAACGGACCAATTAAAAGTAATATGACCCATAACACTTAAACTTTACCATATCATTAAATAATGCACTTGATATCCAAATAACATTCAAAATGAAAATAAATAAAACAATGTAAATAAAAGTTAAAACCCTCTAATTGAAGGGACAACAATCAAGTGATTTTAAAATAGTGGAATATTTGGAATTCTTTCCAACAGAGTTAAAAAATCTGGTAAAATTAAAACAAAATATCTTAACCAATAAGAAAAGATATTAGTTTTATATTGGGGGTAGAAATTTTTTTGATATTGAAGTTCATTTTGAAGGGATAAACAAATAAAAAAAGTCTAAAAAACTTTATTCACTTATAGAACAAATTTAAAACATAAACATAATTTTATCAATATCACTTTCATTATGATAAAAGTGTGTAATTTTGAATAAATATAGTCTAATACTTTGTACTATACACAAACACATTTTTGTATTATAAAACTTTTTCCGTTTTCTATATATGTATACAATTTTTTTATTTGAAACTTCTTTTTATGGTAATTAAAAAAAAATTAAGACTATTGATATACTATTCCTAGTAGGGATTGAACGCCAATACACTCTTCTTATTTGCGCCACTGGTTTCAACCCTTAATCTCAATTGAATAACTTTATTTCTTCTTATCGCGGCGCGGCCTACGTCTCAAATAACAAATATTTTTTAAATACAATTTATAAAAATTTATCTCATTAAATTAAATAGTTATAACTCTAATTATAATTAACGCAATCATTTGTATAGATAAAAATTTTACTCAAATTATATTTGTACAATATTATTGAGTGAATCAAACAACTAGTTGACCATAATTGAATAATGTTACAATTATGAATGGTATTCTCTAAAGTAATGAGTTTATACAGCAGAATCAAAGGGACAGGGTAATTAAATTTTTATGATTAAATTATTAGTTTTGTGAATATTAGAAACCATTTATATAATATGTGGTGTCATTTGTACGTACATGTAACTTTTAACTTTGGCTCAAATAAAAAATGACATTATAAGATTCGGTAAGTTCTTCAATCAACGATTTTTGAGCAACGTAACACGTACAAATACATAAATTACATTTGTTTGTGTATAATTCACTTGTTTTGTTTTGCCACTAAAAATGAAATATAATAACAACCACTAGAATGTATTAAACAAAAAATCGTAGCAATATCAATCGAACATAATTCACTTTCTCTTCCACTAACATCACAGATTTACATCGTATATATTTAGATCTAGTCCGTCATATTCATATAATAGTTTTTGGTGGGCTTTATTATTCATCACCTACTTTGTACTAGACAGTGCACTTTAATACTGCCGGAGAAAGGAAAATAATCCATCAATTAACTATATACACCTGCAATATCCATGATGCTATTTTTATGCTAATGTTGCCGACTTTGATTACATTAGTTATGGCGTCTTACGAATTCATAAAAAATTCAATCATCTAATGGTATCTCAAATTTATTAGATTCATTTTAATGGACGTATAACATGAAATTTTGTACACAAAGTGCAGTAATGAAATTCAATTATTAAAGTGATTTAGAAAACGGTGAAATGTATGTGGTCAAACAAATATTAATTGTATAAACATATTAATCGTTCAGTTATGTACTAGTAATTTATAACTTAGTTTTATACACCGACTTAAATTTATAACATGACACATTTGTCCTAAGACAACTCGGAGGCTATTTGTTTTTGAAAAATTTTAAACCCCCAATTTTATGCATGAAATTTGTTTGTTATAATTGTTTTAGATGATTTAATGAAAAATAATTATAACTATATTTGTAATAGTATTTACCTAGACTTTTATCTAATTCTCCAATAACCAAATAAATGTTCATTAAGCAAAATAATAACAATAATAAAACATGGAAAAGGTATTGCACGTAAATTATAAATCATTTTAACTGCTTTTGAATAGATTTCAAGTACAGTTTGTAAGTTAATGTTAACTTTTAAATTATAGATAACTTTTAAATTAATATATATATATATATACAGTGATTCTTTTATCGCTAGCCAATCAATTTTTCTTAAAATAATAACTTTTTGTGATTTTTTTTGGCTTTTGTAAGTTACATATGTATTTCCATTTATCCGTTATAAAACATTTTTTAGGTTCATCACTTATATCTTATAAGGTTGTCAACTTTATATTTTATTATTTTTTAAACGAAACATACATATTAAACAAGCTTATAAATTAGAATATGATCTAATTAAGAAAATGACTGGTCGATAACTACTTTTGGACCAATAATTCAGAAGTTATTAAAAATTTAAAATAATGTCTGGAAATGAGTAGGTTTATACCTACGTATGAAAATGAGAATAATGAGAATTATTTTCTATTTGATAAGATAGTTTAATATGTATGTTTTGTTTAAAAATTAATAAAATATAAAGTTGACATCCTTATAAGACATAAAGGATGAACCTAAAAATTATTTTATAATAGATAAATGAAAATATATATTTAACTAACAAAAGTCAAGAAAATAACTTTCAAAAAACTTATTATTTTAAGAGAAACTCAATGTCCTGTGTTAAAAGAATCACTCTGTATTATTGGCATTTTCAGTACACTCAAATTAAGACTTTTGAGCTATTGAATCTAAAAATTAGTTTTTTAATCAAATAAAAATCACCCTTTCTCTATGTTTATTTAAAAACACAAAAGCTTCACTCCATCTATCATTTTTTAAGTAAAAATAATTTTATGAATGTGTTAAAGCTTTCATGGATTGTCTTGTTGCTTGAAGTGCTTGAGGATATATCCATGTTCACTCTGAAGATGAACTCTGCAATGAGTCCGAAACGTCAGAACTCAACTACAAACATGGATATACCCTCAAGCACTTCAAGTAAAAATAATTTTCTGATGTATTTAAAATTGATATTTTGCTTTTAAAGGACAATAAGCTGAAAGTATATTATTCTTTGTTATTTAGACAATTAATTATTTAATTAAAGTAAAATTGTATTTAAATAATAAAATAAATGGGTTTTTTTTCTTTAATAATTACAACCATTGATAATAAAGTAGATAATTCAGAGCACTTACCATGGTTTATGCTAATAAAGCATAAAATAATATATAGCATTAAATCAAATAAATATTAATATATTATTTAATTTATAAAATAATATAGTTCAAAGTAATTTATTTCATTTTCTTTTATATTTAAAGAAATAAATAATGTATTTTCATGAGTTTGTATTATTACTATAGTAGTAAAAGACATCTACGTTAAAATTGATAATTTAGCAAATAAAAATGTTACATATAATTTAAATATATGCATACAATTTTTCAAGTTGTTACACGTGCATTCATTAAAAATATTTTCAAACAATAGAATAAATATTTATTTAGGGTTTTAAAGAATCAAGGACTTATTTTAAGGGGAACTTAATACAGATCTAGTGCTATCCAATTTTATGAAGCCAGTATTTCTGTTGCTCAAAAAATAAAAAAGATATCACGAGTATGTATACCATATTAGAAAAAATCGAACCACTCTACTCACTGGAAATGAACTACTCAAACAAAAAATTCAAATAAAAACTTAAAACAAAAGAAAAATTAACACTTCGACAACCAAATATTTTAGTGTAAATGGTATTTTTAGAATGTATAATGCAAGAAAAAAATGAATATCAAAATAAATAATTATTATATTACAATAAAAAAAATGTTACATAGAATAGTTCACAGCATGAAAATATCACGTAGAATAACATTGATCAATATTATTAAATTAGTACTATTAGATATTTTCTGATAATTTAACTAGCCAAAATTTATCCAATTACCACATTTTATATACGAATGTAATTCAAAAATACTTAAATGGACTGATTAAAATGTTTTGTGACTTAAGTCCCTTAATTTCAAGTATGCAATAAATGATAAGAAAAATATTAGAAAAAATAAAAGATATATAATAAAAACTTTAGAATAATTAATGAAACCTTTATCAAAGTATACGATAAAGAGGACGTATCAAAAATTATTGTGTACACGAAAATCGTTAGAAAAAAAAATAAGAACCTTAGCATTAGCCTTGAAATAATGTGATAACAGTTAATGTGTAATATATACATCCGTAATAAAATTAAAGATAATGAACATTTTCTCAAGTTTTCAACAAAAAATATATATATTTATTAGTTTACTTTTATGTATTGATTGATTAGAATTTAAAAAAGTAAAATATAACCTATTCGTAATAAGCTACAAAAAAAATAACTACAATACTATTATTTGATAACTTACAAAGTTTGGTTTACACTATTTGCAACAAATAGTGTCTGAGTAATGTAAAGTCAGACATTAACGTGATCAAAATATAAATAAAATTTCGATGAGAAATCTTTTATTATTTTAGTGCTTGTTAACTACTTTTTTTTAACATATATTATTTCAGAAACTATAATTTAATAAAAATATCTATTTTATTAAAATATTTTTTGCAAATGTTTTATTAATAATAAAAACTGTTAAGATTATTGAAAAAATGTCATTATTTTTTAAGGAACCATTTTAATTATTAAATAATCATTCATAAATTCAATGTAATTTCTATAATTTTCTCAAAGTAAATTAAATAGTTTTAATATAACCTATAACACCTATAGGACCTATGGAAATTTAATAATAGTATAATTGTACGTAATTAGGAGTCGATATCGGCAACTCAACTGTCAAGATTTGCTTGGATAGTTTCACGCAGGGGTCAGATTAAAATGGTAAAAATGTACTGGTAATTAAGGAGATATTCACGAATTCCTTGGTAATCACCGCAAAAACAACTTAATTAAACGGGTCTTAATAGAAAATAACAAAACGATACTACGATCCCACAATATATGTTTTTTCAATAGGCATCATGGTATCTACATCGTTATGAGCTGCCTTCGTCGGTGATCCAGATATAGCCCTTGAACTTAATAGTACTTCAGGTAAATAACAACTAAATTAACCCTCCAGAGATATAAAGTAAAACGTACAAACTTACATTATATGTCACGAAACGGAACATTGTTCCAAATTCATCATAAAAAGAATAAATAACAAAGGATCTATTGAAACTGCTATCTAAATTAATAAGTATGGCACAATACCAATAGAAAAGTTATCACTTTACACAAAATTTTTTGATAAACAAATAGTTCTATTTTATATAAACTATAAATATATTAAAATATATTTTTCTCAAAAAATTAGATAATTGAAAAAATGTTTAGCACTACAATTACATAGATTTTAGAATTTAAACAAGTGATGTATTAAGGGTTTATTTTGTCTCCTTCCTAACATTTTTGTAGAACAAAAAAAAAAAATGTTCAACTTATCTCAAAAAAAAAGTTTGATTATTCCCACTGTTGTAATTCTTATATCTCACTAGTTCAAAACTTAGAAAATACATAAACCCATCTACATAAATAAAATAATATTACATACGTTTATAAGTTTTATTTGGTTTCCAGTTAAGATGCCCAAAAAAAACTTAGGACACACTTTTTGTTGCACCTTGTGATGGTGACTACCCCAGATGGCACCTCTTGTAGAAATGCCACTGATTAAAACGTAAAATTTCAAATCATACATCAATAAAAATAATCATATTTTTATTGACTCAATATGAATAAAAATATAGTGATTCTTTTACCGCTAACCAATTAATAAATAATCAAGATTCTATTATTTTAGCTATAAATAACAGTAACTTACTAAATTTGGTATATATTTTAAATATGACTTGACAATAGCATTTGTACTAAATGCCAATGATATAAAATGCTTTATTAAATTGTGAATAGATTATAGACAAAAGTATTTTATGCTTAAAAAACAAACTTACTCGATAAGCCAGAATTTAGAGAATTAACAATTTTTTTAACTTGATAAAATCGAGTTAAGGGATCATTACCACATAAAGAAATGAGCGTATTAGTCAACATATTCGTGTTAAGATTGCCTCAAGATAAACACTAACTATCAATTTATAAGTACATCAAAAATCGTTTACAATAGAACTGTCTGGTATTTAAATTTATAAATATTAAAAACAACACTAAAATAGCAATTAGAAATATGAAAACTATTATTAATAGTAACAAATTCTTTCGAGCTTGAATTTTTGGCAATTTTTGTTAAGAGTACTAAACTATTCTTTAAGTTTTTTAAGATCCATAATAAAAATATTTTAAAAAAATGCAAACAATTAAGAATACTATATTTAGTATAATAAGTACTATATTAATTATAGTTACACTATAAATTTTAGTTTAATAGATTGTAAATGTATTTAACATAAACATAAAATAAATTTAACAATAATTAGACTTTATATTTTTGTTTGTTTTATAATTTAAAATTCAAAAATTAGTATTTTTAGTACATAATTATTATTTTGTGCATTGTTCATTAAATTAAAAAATGTGCGTTGTAATTTTTATATTTAATAAAAGCGTTGACAGACTGTATGACTCACACACTATAAATCTCACAGAACTACAAATTGGTTTTCGAGTTTAAAAATTTACGAATTTACTGTACTTAACTTTAATATACATCCTAAAAATTCGAATTTAATAAAATTATTAATTGATTAAAAAGATATTGATAATAGTCAATACGTAAATCATAAGTCTGCCATTAATGGATAGTAAAAATATGAGTACTTGAGTACTTATAAAGACAAATATTATCATATTTATAAGATACCTTGTAGTTCTCCTACATCATAAAATATTTATGATGTTTATAATAAAACCTATATCTCAGAAAGAATATTATAAATATTTTCGAAGAATAAAATCTACGAATTAAGTTAATTGACACTTCAAATTTGAGTTATATTCGACAGTAGCTTTAAAACTTAAAGAGGTTAAACCCATTCTACGTTAAATTATTTGATAATCACTTAGATTGATTAAATCAACTCATTTAATTCCAAAACAAGCATTCAGAGTAGACTTACGCGTCAATGCGGCTAATGATTTGTAAGCGCCTAGTGTTTACGGACTTTTTATGACGAACGAAATTGATAACATGTGATATAATATGGCTGTATTACATGGCCAATTACTGATAAGATAAGAACATAGCCGTATTTGAAAAACAACAATGCTAACATGATAGAACGACAGTGAACAGTGAACATTAACTTTCACTTAATCATTATGTCCTTTATGAGTCGCATTAAATAACACTTGTTCCGCTGATAACGACGTTGCAAGCAAAATATATTTACAAGTAAATTCTGTCCGGTAATTATCAACAATAACGGAAGCACCGACCACATCAAAAAGAAGTAAGCCGATCGATTAAATATTGTTAATAGTTCACATAATTACATTACCGACATTTATTTTGCATCAAACATTCTTGTTCGAAACATTGCTACCCGTTGCATTTACGTTCACATGAGTATTGTGATAAGTGATTAGTGATAATTTAATAGTAACAACCGTTCATTTTATGTACAAAATAATTTAAAATTAGTAGACATAAATTTTAATTACTTACGTTAATTCTATTTTCAATTATTATTCATCGACAAAATGACGAATAACCATGTCTTATTTTTCCCGATTATTTCTATACTCATATTTATAATTGAAGGGATTTGCTTTTACTTATTACCTACATATATTATAACTACATGACGTTTATATTTTGTCTTGAATTCCGATGTTTGTTTTTAAATTTCGCAAGATAACCTCTTTTGTTCTCATATGGTATTATTGTACTACAGTGTCACCCCACCAACAAGTTTGATTATCCCGCCATCAAAGCTTCTTAATTGCTACGAATTTTTATTTTGTAATGTCAATTACCATTTCATCTGACTAAAACTTGTTTGTGTTGTAAAGAACATTAATTAACCATATAAAAATTAAGATTGACTGGTATTACTGTTTATTCTATTTATAATGATGTTGCACTATTTTTCAATTATATTTTTGTACGTTCATTATTAAATATTTTTTCTATCATCTCTTTTAAGTGAATTGCATAGTGATAAGTTTATTTTTAAACTAAAATAAAATTTTTCATTCTTTCAAAAAAAAAAAATTACATTATTCATTGTAAAAATAACATTTTTTACTAGTTTTACCAAACGTATTATAAGTCATATCTATCATGTATATTTTTAATCTATAACCTACATTTTACTATTTATTATGTAGTATTAAATTAGGAATTATTNAAATTTATGTATGCTATTTAACATCTCAATAAATTTTAAAACCTATATTTTTAATCTATAACCTACATTTTACTATTTATTATGTAGTATTAAATTAGGAATTATTTATTTACATTTTTTTGATTTTACGAATTTATTATCTATTTTTATTTAATTTATATATGGGTAGATGAATAATAATTCCTTGGATATTAAAAGAATATAATAATAATTTTCTTTATAGCATTTAAATTTTAATAAATGCTATAAATAGTATACAATTCAACAATTAAATTATTGTGATATAACACTATTCTTGCCTATTTAATTGAATATAAAAAAATATGAGTTATAAAATTTAATCTCCTTTTAAAGGACTGAATATATTTCTTTAAATGTATTTAATTTCTCTATCCAATCTATTGTAGTAACTCACACTTTTTTTCTTTAAGGGAAAATCTTAAAGTGAAGCATTAAAAAATTAAAACTAAACTACATATCCTAATACTGTACTTAAACTAAAATTCATTTTTAATAATGTATCATTTTATAATGTATAAAGTAATAATGTATCTTTAATACTATTGTTTCCTATATTATTTGACAATGTAGTTATATAGACTCTCAAAGATTTCAAACTTAAAAAATACTAAATAAATTAAAAGTTAAAACTAAATTTCCATAATTTGGAACAAATTAATTTCACTAATTTGATCTTAATATGCTTTATAACATTATCAACCACTTAGGTACACTTGAGAGTTGGAGCTTAAGTATAGCCACCAGATAGCTTAGTAGGTAAGCTCTCCCAGATAGTAAGAAACCTGAGTTTGATCTTCAGTCTGCTGGCATATTTTATCCTTAGTTTCCAAAATTTCTAACATTAGTCATACTAAATTTTCTCTTTTAAAAATCCCTTTAATTTATAATTTGTTTAAAGATTATTGTAGTAATTAATTGTAAATATTCAGTTATGTGAATAATTAAAATAAAGAGGTGCGATTCAATCTTTTAATGAACAAATTAAAATTTAATAGCATGTGTAAGATTATTTTAATTAGTATGGTGTGGCACAGTGAATTATTCATTTGTTGTCTTAGCGCTGATATTCAGCTGCTGTGTTTGCTGTTGGTTCCCAGATGGGTAACCATATGAAAATTTCAATCGTGAAACACACCTTGCCCCTATATTAATTTCATCAGTCATAATGAGATGTGTGAGGTTGATACAATATAAAATTCTGTCAATTTTTTAAAGTAGAACCAACCCGAATAGTTGGGATAAAGGCTATGGTGATGATGATGATGATATATTCTATACTTTTGTAATTATTATATATTATAGTATTAATCACCATATATGATATGATGAACAGCTCCTTTATTCAAACTAATTTTCATCCTATTTCATTAATTTATTTATTTATTACCTTAATAAATAGAATCAGATAAAAATTTGGTTGATCCATTCAAAAAATGATTTTTTTGTTAGTGTTGCTATATCAAACAAAATTACATTTTAGAAAAAAAAATATTAAGCCTAATATTTTGAATTTTTTTTTTTCAGATTTTCCTCTAGTATGTTACAAATTTATCAACATTAATCAAAACTCTCTTATATTTTTCTATTACGAGATTACTGAACTTGAATGACACTGATCACAATTATTTAGAGCATTTTAAATATCTATAGATGGGTTACCACTACTCGTTTATTCATCGAATATATGGTATTCATCAATATTTGTCAAATAATGGAAATGATGTTCTTGTGCAAATATTCGGTACTCGCTATTTATCTCCTTCCAGCCAGTTAGCAGTTTTTGTTGCACAAGTCAAAGGAATCAATTTTTTTTTAATGGGTATATAAGTAGTCAAAATTGGAATATTCGTTTTTATGCACAAATAGATGAATAATCTGTATTCATTTTACATTTGGCACATAGACGAGTAGTGGGAACTATTAATAGTATTATGGTAATTACTTTGTTATATAATAACAATTATTATTAACTATTCTCTTAGTTTTCAGCTCTGTTAAAATATAAATTAACAACTAAAACAATTTGTGCCTTAACTAATATTTCTTTTTGTACTGCACTTAATAATTCTTACATAAATAATTTTTAAAAATACCATGATATAATATTTTTTATTAATAAAATTATTTTTAATTATTCAAAAATACACCATTGTAATTTAAACCAAAAAATGTATTGATCATTTAAAATAAGAAGAAAAAAAAAAAAAATATATATATATATATGTATATATATGTGTGTGTGTGTGTATTCTTAAACCATTTATTAGAAAATGTTATCTTTTTAAGAATTATGACATAGTTTAATCATTATAGAAACTTAGTCTTTTAAATCATTTCTCAAGTTTTCACATTCATCTTCTAGCAAATCCTATAAATAAAATGTATTATGTAGTATAAAAAAAATTTAAATAAAACCAACTACTTACCTGGGGTAATCCCAAGCAATTTCCCCATTCTTCAAGTGTTATCATATGGTCATCATTAGCATCACATTTGTTAAAGAAAGGAGCTATGCAATGTTCTAAATACATTAATGGAGCTCTTATTGGAAATAACTCGTGTTTTGATACAGCTCTGAGATAATATTAAAATTTCAATTAATGTATTTTATGTTACAAGTAGTTTTTATTATACTTGTCATGAGGATAACCGTCCAAATCACACCATTTCCATACAGCAGCATTAGCCCAACGTTTTGTATTATTAGTTTCTGCTTCCTTTATCATTTTTGTAAAGTGAGGACTTAATTCTTCTCTATCTGCTAAATCTTGCATAATATTAAACAACCACTCCCTCATTCTCCTTGGGAAATCTTCCATTTCAGAATCTGAACATTCCTAATATAATTTTATATAAAATATATTACTTAGTAATTTTTTTAAATGTGATAAATTAAAATAGTGTACAAACAGCCATTTGTTTACACATGCCATAGTATTCTACATGCAAGTGATTGTACTCTGGATCTGTGCACTTGTCTGACTTCTCTTCACAATAACATCTCATTCTGTGAATTTCACAGTCTGAACCCCAAGTTTCATTTCGATTAGAGCATACCTATTACATTGATAAATTTGTTTTATATTATTTATTCATTGAAATTTTTAAAGTGACTCACTTTTCTTCTTATATCTGTTTCAGTTGGGCATTCAGAAACACAAACACATTGTGCTTCTTCACTTTCTGTAATTTTACATACACGTCCAGCTCCACAGTGTTTTTTAGTACAGGGATCTAAATGATTATCAAAAGAACTTTTAAACAAATTAGTGTTGGGCGTAGATATATGCAACTATGGAAAGGAAAAAAAGTGTTAATGGTTGCAAAATATTCAAGGGTAGAACGTGAACAACTTGAAAACCAAAATATTCCAGAAAAACAGCTATTAAACCAGTTAAGTGCTCAAGGTGTCAATCTTAAAACGGTGTTAGATACACACAATGAGCATTATAATGTTGTCAAAGAAGTAAAAGCAGCTATAAAACAATTGGATGTTGAATCAAAAATAATAAGTTTAAAGGTTATACATATTTTATATTTTTTTATCAATAAATCAAGCAATTTTTTTTCTTTTTTAGGATATAAACACTACTGCAGTTTCATGGGCTGATGTTTTAATTGCTATTGGTGGTGATGGTACATACTTAGTTATGTCAAGTTATGTTCAAGATAATTCTAAAGAAGTTGTGGGCATTAATTCGAATCCTAGTTCTTCACTCGGTTATTTATGTTTACCATCTGTATGTTCACAAAACATTGAAAGAACCTTTGATATGTTGGAAAAACAAAAATTCACATATATTAACCGAACCAGAATTAGAGTTTCTATGAAATGTGCTGAAAGTATGATACTTAGTATATATAAACTATATACTATTATTTTCATTCATTTTTTAATATTGAGAAATTAATATTTTATTTTCAGAAAAAATTGAACCTCCTGTAAATATGTATCAAGATTTTTTAAAAATTAAGCCAGACTCTCATTCAACTCATGACATGTTGGCTCTTAATGAAGTCTTTATTGGTGATAAAATGCCTGGACGTACATCTGAACTAGAATGTAAATTTGATCATGATGACCCAATAAAGATTAAATCATCTGGCCTTTGCATCAGTACTGGAACTGGGTCAAGTGCTTGGAGTTATTCTTTAAATAAAATTAGCATTGATCAAGTTAGAAGACTTTTTAAGTATGGGAAAGTAAATTTATCTAAAAAAGAATGCGAGGAAATGGTTATTAGGTATAATAAAAGTTTAGTATATAGCCCTTCTTCTGATAAACTCAAGTACACGATAAGAGAACCGACTGGAAAATTATTATGGCTTGCTGATGGATTAATAACTTCTGATGAAATTAAAAAAGCAATTGTTGAAAATCATTGTGAAGAAGGATGTATTATATTGGACGGATTTTTAATCTATGTTTTTCCAAAAGGAGCTCAAGCTGTTCTTAGTTCAAAACCTGAAGATTCAATTAGATCTGTTTGGATAACAGACCATGATTTAAAAAACTGACCTACCATGAAGTAGTTTATATTAAATCATTTTTACAATTATATGTATTTTTTTATTGTCCTCAAATTAAAAAATGACTCTCCTGAATTTGTTTTAAAAATAATTTCATTGTCTGTCAATTATTTCTAAAATATAACCTATCATTAAGGAGTTAAAATTATATGAAAATTATGTAATTCATTGTTTAATAATTTTGTTGTGAACTTATATTATATAAGTTTATGTTGCAAGTCAATTGATTATATTCAATGTGGTTTATATCAGAATAAAAATATATAACTGAATGTTAATTATAATAAATTCGAAGATATTAATTAATAATGACATAATAGTATTTAATGATTTAGTATGACTTTAACATTGTATTTTATTATATAAATTTTTAAATATATTTATACACAGGGTAATTTACTAAGCATCTACCTCCATTTTTTTCATTATATAAATGATTATTCTATAAAAATATATAGATTAAAATTCAACTTATTTTAATAAACCCTTGTAAATGAAAAGTTTGTTGTAAAAAAAAAATGATTCCTAAGGGTAGATTATAGGGGTAACTTTCGAACATTAAATGGTTACCTATTATTATATTTTTACTATTAAGTTAAAAATGATCCAAATAAAATTTTGACTGGCCAATAACCAATTTTGCATTATTACTTTTTGAATTGTTATAATTTTTAGTTGTAAGTGAGTTAGATATACAACACAGAAGAATTCTTATTTGTCCAGTTATAGTAAAAATATATTGTCTCTAAAAACTACCCTGCACGTTACCTTTTTTAAATTTTCAAATATTATATCCATATAATTCAAATATTATAAAATAATAACTCAAAACTGGTCAATGACTAGTAAAAATTTTATTTAGATCATTCTTTATTTAATAATAAAATAATAATAATAGGTTCTCATTTTAAATTCTAGAGTGGCCCCTATAAAAGGGTTTATAAAAATAAGTTGAATTTTAATCTAGTATACTCTATCAGTAATTACCTTCCTGTATTTTTGGTTCATCAACTAAACGCACATTTTGCAACTGTGCCTGAGAAGGATCACCTTCCAAATTTTCAACAGTTTTTGCTAAAATTTGTTCAGCATTAATTTTTGAATAGTAATCAGCTTTAGCCTTGTATTTTTTATTTTTCCTCTGAAAATTATAATTAAAATTAGTAGTCAACATATATGATATTTTTAAAGAATTATTTTTTATTTTTAACTAAATAAATTTATTGGATTACAAAAAGTATTTAAATATATACATATATATATAGACTTATAGAGCACACTTTGGGATAGTTCATTCTAAATAACTTGATAATTTTTGTTGAATTATTGTAAATACCATAAAAAAAAATTATTGTTTAGGATGAAAGCTAAATTCTTTCCCTTGACAATTACATTTCACGAAAATTTAGATCTTGAATTAACTTTAAAAAAAGTAATTTAAATGAATCTACTCGGGATTATTTGTAAATAACTGCATCAGTTGAAATTAAAATTAACTCCATATTTTTATTTAAATAGGATTTGATTATAGTTGACTAACAGTAGCGTTGGGTTGGGTTTAAAAAAGTATGCATTAACGACTTATAAAAATATGCAATAACTCAAATTTTATGGAGTAGTTAACATTATTTTTTTTTATAATACAATGCATGGTAACGCATTAGATAAATGTCTACATATTTATAATTCAATGTATAATAATTTTATGTTGAATTATTAACAATTATTTGTGCATCGTGTAAAGTAAGAATTGATATTGATTTAAGGATATTCCCCTCTAAAAACTATCAATTTTTTCATGTTTTCATTTTGACATTATTAAATATAAAGATAACATTGATTAAAATGGATCAAAAACGTCGATTACATCCTAGATAAATTAAAACAATTTTGCACCTTCTAAAATTTTTTTCCAATTTACGCCACTAATGCTTTAAACAACAACTTTTCTAAACCATTCCTTAAATAAGATCTTTTTTTACAATATTAATATAATTTCTTTAAAAACATACCGGCTTTTCTTCGGCTGAAATAGAACATTCACATAATACAAAAAGTACTAATGCAAAAACAAGCAAATGTTTAAACTGCGTCATAGTGTCACTTGAAAATTCTAAAAGTACACAAATATAGTAATTATTATTTTTTAATTAATTAGTGTAAATATAATTGTTAACTATAAAAGACAATTATTTTATCATTAGCTTCTTAATTGATTGAAAAATAATATTGTATTTTTTACTTATATATTTCTCAATGTTTAATCGTGAAGGAATTTTTAAATTCACCCTTTATTTCATATAGGAGTATCAACTTAATTTTTTTTTTAATGGGAATATAAATATTTAACTAGCATATTTATAAAATAAATAATTAAGAAAATTACTGGTGGTAAAAACTTTTGGTACAGTATTTCAGAAATGACTAAAAATTTAAAGTATGATTTAGAAGGAGGTGTGGATTCCGTTATTTTTCTAATAGATATCCTAAAGTTGCGCACTCCAACTCCTTTCTAGATATAAAAATGCTAAATATGTATATTTTTTTTTATAAAAATAAATCTGAAATCCTCATAAAACATTAAAAATGAACATGAAAAAAAAACGGCATAGGGGTGACGTGGTATAGTTGGATCAAGTATAATGATATCTGACAGTGATTAAAATCACTATCATAAAAAACACCTCGATGCAAATCTTTAAATAGTGTTTAATTTTAAAAAATTTATGGATTATTCCAAAAGCTACATGAGCTGCTATTTCCTTATTTGTATCCTGATTGGGATAAAGTATGTCGAATGAACGAGGGATATAAGTATTATTTCTCATAAAAAAATTGTATTGAACCATACATTTTTCAAAAAGTTATAGCATAATAAAGTTAAATGTGTAAAAGATAAAAACGAGAATTTTCGCACAAAAATAGCATTTGGTAACTATTTTCACCATGAAAACAAATTAAAGTCCAACATTTTTTTTCCATAATAAAGTATATTACGTTAGCTTTAATTTAAGACATATATATAAAAGTATCAGAGTTAAGGGAACACTTTCAAAAGTAAAGTTGAAAAAGTTGTCATTTTTTAACCCCCCTGTGGGCAGGTAAAGAGTCAGATTTATAAAAAAAATATACCAAATGATAAGTCAATACCTCATGTATCTATAACAAAGGAATTTTATTGATTGGATCATTTTTAAAAAAGTTATGGCAGTTTTAAATAAAAAAGATTGAAAAAATGTCGAAAATAAAGTGATTTTTAAGTTTGTAATTTTTTGAGGATTTCCCCCATTTACGATGAACGAGAGAAATTTTTTCAATTTTTGAGGATAATGTCTTCGACTAGATACGATTTGTGATCTTTTGACGTATTGTTCATCAAAATCGGTCCAGCGAGAGCTGAGATTGAGCGTTTACAGACACAAAAAAAAAAAATAAAAAACTTATCATAGCAAAATTAATACCTTCTCAGCTTCGTATCGAAGCTAAAACTGTTTAAATTAATTTTAACTTAATATTAATTTTTATTTGTCAATTAATTAAGTTAAATAAAAATCACCTTATATATATTATAACGATGCTGTTCATATTATGATCCAACTAAGGTTTTAGACAGTGGTATTGCTAGAAATAGAGGTTATAGTTTAGCATTTTCATTTACATTTATTAACAAATAAAATCATAATTTTTTATAAAATTTGTATACAATATACATTTTTTTTAATTCATAAGCCCTTCCCTAATACACAAGATTCTTGTCCAATTTTGAAATAATTGTAGTATCTTATCAGTATAATTTATAAACTACTTAAACTATGTCAAATTGTACAAATTAAAGAAGTTAATTTCCATATCAAATTAGATTAAGTACACTCATATTTACGTTAGTGTAAATATATGAAAAATTAGATTGATGTTGTCACGTATGTAATTCAATATTATTATTTAAGTAGAATAATTCATTCTATAAAAACTCAATGCAAAATAATCCAAACCATTAAATACTTAATTTGTTTTAATTGGGTTAATTAATACTACATAATTTAATATAATATCTAATGCAAATGGTTATTAACTTTATTTAATCGTTGCGTATTATAAGCAGACGGTGTACTAATTAATATATATTTCAGCTTCAATACGAAGCTACGATGTCAATTTTGTTAAAAATTTAATAAATCTTAATTTTAAGGTTTAAAAAAAATAAAACTAAAACTACAAAATTCACGTATGTGATTTAAATAAAAAAAAAGTCCAGAGGTCAAATTTTTTTTTTCAAATTTAAGTATATTACATTAGCTTTAATTTAAGGTATATATAAAAGTGTCAGTCTTTCCGGAACATTTTCAAAAGTTAAGTTGAAAAAGTTAATTTTTTGTAAAAAAGTTACCATTTTGAAACCCTTCCTGTGGGCTTGTAAAGGGTCAAATGTTCACAAAAATATATAAAATAATAGGTAAATACCTAAGGTATCTACAAAAAAAAAAAAATTATTTCGATTCAGTCATTTTTAAAAAAGTTATGGCAATTTTAAGTAAAAAAAATAGAAAAATTTCGAAAATTAGCGATTTTTAAATTTGTAATTTTTTTGGAGATTTCCCCCATTTACATGGGGGAAATCTCTCAAAAAATTTAAAAAATGTCGTAAATAAGCGATTTTTAAATTTGTAATTTTTTGGGGGATTTCCGCCGTTTATGGGGAACGAGGGAATTTTTTTCAATTTTTGAGAGTAATGTCTTCGACTAGATACGATTTGGGATCTTTTGACGTATTGTTCATCAAAATCGATCTAGCGAGAACTGAGATTGAGCGTATACAGACACAAAAAAAAAATAAAAATAAAAAACACATTATAGTAAAATTAATACCTTCTCAGTTTCGTATCGAAGCTAAAAAGTTGAATTTTAATGAATTTTTATACTGAATGATTTTTGTCAATAATTTCTTTTGTTATCATTTAATAAATCTTAACATGGATAAAATTGAAAGCAATCAAATTTTATGTATGTATAAAACAGAAAGAAAATTTAAAAAAATAATTTAAATGCTAAAAAAATACTGATAAAAGAAATTGACAAAGTGTCAATCAAAAAATAATATATTTAAATAAAAAGTAAAAGTAAATAAAGTTTTGAATATACACAATGGATGTCCATAATGAGACACATTTTTTTGAGGCTAATAATTAAACTGGGATAAAAGTCCAATATTGGAATAAACAATTTAATTTTATATTACAAAGCGTCAAAAGTTGCGCAAAACTGAGCTTTGGACGTCGACATCTCGGCTCCTTCATTCTATCAAACTCACTGCAGCATTTTTCAAACCATATTCCATTCCCTTTATGTATTAAATCTTACACTCTATCATTTCTAACTATTTTCCCAGCTCCAGAAATATATTTAAAGAATTAAATTTAAATTAAGTGTTAGGGTAAAACACAACTTTGAGGGTTAACTCAAGTAGCTTCCACAAAAATTCTTTCCAAAGGAGTACCAGAAGTGAAAAGTTAGCGGATACATGAGACATGTTACTTAAAAAAATAAATATTACTATATTGTCCTAAATTAAGTAAACTGATTTTTAAAAATGTTAGTCTCATTATTTGTTATGGACATAGTCATCAATCTATTTCATTCTTTTATGATTAATAAAATAATGAGATGTACGTAAAAAAGGATTTTTTTTCGTGTTTTAAAATAACTCCTGTAGGAAAATGTATGTTCATTAACAACAATATTTAAGTATACTCAAAAAATATTATTATTTTTTTACAAAAATTTTCATTTGTAAATGTAGAATTCAATATAACAGAAATAGAAATTAAGTTTTGTGTTAGAGAGGAATTCACATGAGAATGTTTCGTCACCTTTTTTAAACAATAAAAAAAGTCTTCAATACGTAACTAACTTTAGCTTGGAGCAGGAACTTGACAATAATACCCATAAGCAATAGAGTACATCATTTGAGGGAGCTAAACGTATTTTTTCTCATTCTAAAACGCAAATATAATTTTCTTAAATTTTTGTGGTCTAATACAACAACTAGGGAGATTGTCAACTTGCTTCCACCCTAGTTACGCCTATAATCATAACCACTTTTCTTCAAAAATTGTTTTTCAGCTCTAATCGTTAATACCTTCAACATAACCTTCGATTAAAGCTAGAATTGAAAGATGACATCAATTTATATTATGTACTAGTGGTCCGGATATTAAAATGATAATTTAAAAATCAGTATTGCAACCGGAACTAGATTTTATAAAAACAATTACATTACTCTACCGATAAAAGTTTATCTAAATGACCTACCGGAAAAAGTTATCGCTTTTAAATGAACTTATTTTTTATTAGATACACTTTGAATCATTTTAAACCAAAAAACTCTGAATGCACACATTGTTTTATGAAACGAATCATTATCTTTTTTACGATAAAAACTTAGTCTATATGACCATACTGCTAACCCATTTTATTTTAATCAAATAAACTCTTTTTATTTATAAGTAGAATTCTTTTTTTAAGTATCGGCACGACAATAAATAATGAGAATAAATTTAATTATGAATAACTATAGAATTAAAAATATTTAAGTAAAAATTAATTTTTAGTAGTGATATATGTCCCAAAGGAAGTATAATTTTAACACCCTTTAAGTAACTTAAATAGTAAAAATTAGAAACAACCTATAAGTATTTTATCCTAAGTAAAAATAATAACCGCAATTCAGAAATTTATCAAAAAATTATTTTTAATACTAACAGATGAGGTACTATAAATAGTGATCCTCGGATCATTTTTATTTTTCAAAGTTTAAACAATTAAATAATTTAAAATCAATTTTTTTTAAACTTGTTCATAAATTTTGAAACACCTTATATTATGAATTTGAATGACATTACAAATAAATAAGGATGGTGGTATGTTTCTATGCCCAACATGCTTTTTTAGTAATATAGACTAACATGATCTTTTATTATATTTTTATAGTTGTACTTACTTTAGAACCTTTACACGATATATTAAAAAATTATGAAAACATTTAGTACATAAATAAAATAATCACAAACCTTATGCAAGTGAGATCCAATAACACGTTTAATAACGAACTCGCACTTTGAATTAAATCACTCTACACACTACTCACCGAGAACGTTATCGAGATTACATTCATAATTTCAACGTGGGTACATAGTGTAGCTCTCTCTACCGATATAAAATAACATTTATTCCTAATTCCTATCATTGGAATAATCATCTTCATATGTAAGTATTACAAGCCTTAACAAAAATAACCAAAATTCGTCGATATTCTATTTTGGCCAGAGACTGAAACCGGTTATAACCAGTTAAAACCGATTTTTCTTACCGAAACCAAAACCACAAACGACTCAAAACCAATTTCTAAACCCGATTAATTTGTTATATGTTGGAGTGTATCTAGAGAGACTAATAGGCTAAATTCCAACCCAATTATAATATAAAATTTTTATAAAAAGTCACCAAGTTATCATTTTAGGTTGATTTTAGTATATATAGCCATGATCTTATAAAATAGCTTTTTAAAAAAATAAAATAATGCCACGAGTCTGAAATATTGGAAAATATGCAAACAATCTGTCATGTTATTAATAAGAAAAGTAGTATTATGTTTAATAGAACAAAGCCGTGATAGAAACGTGGACGCCAGCACAGTACACATCTAAACAGCATTAAATAACTTTATAATAAATCGTTCACTTCTAGGGGCTTCATTCAATTGGCCACTTTCGACAATATTCACCTAAACACCTGGTACCTATTTACAATTATTTTTCAATCCATAAAGAAAACATCACACGACATATTGGACAGTAGTACCAGAAAAATAGTTAACACCTCATGAACTCCTGGTACTATATTTCTAATTTTTTTCCAGTTCCGACGTGTAGTGTCGTTAACGCCAACAGCTGTTGCTTTTATTGCCTAAACAAAACTCCTAAATTTATATAAATACTTTTTAATATTTTCATCAATTTAACCGGATAAAAAGAGTTTAGTATATAAGATGTACGTTCCATAATTTTAATACTGTTGGTTGTTTTTCATAATTATCATGAAATTACAAAATGTAATCACACACTGTACCTAGTAACTGATAAAGTGAACAAGTGACACAAAGGAAAATAATGTCCATTAAGACAGCGTGGTCAACAATAATTTTAGTTTTTTTTATAAAACGATTTATTGTCTATTTCCCTTGAAATTCCAAAGAGGAGCACTACATCTCACGAGGTAGAAGTCTCACGAGCAACTGATTTGAATGTATAATATTATTTTTATTTTTTTACGCCTTATAGACCATAGTGACCTCTTCCGAAGAAGGAGGTTTCTTAACTCCGAGAAGAATGGTTAGTGCATCGCCAGAGAAAGGGATGACGACTCTAATTACCGAACTGATCTCTCGCTCAGCAAATGAAGGCGCCGCATTACCAACTCGGACAAACCGTCCCTCTGAATATATAATATAATAAAAAAATCTATGGTTTTGCCAGGGCGACTAAAAAAAACATTAAGCTACTTTGGCAAGTACCATGAGGTCATAAGATTATGGACTTAATCAGTAGTTGCAGTTATCATATCTATAAATAGGTTGACGAATAAAATCCCACTCATCAAACAAGACATATTCGTCAATCGATTTTATAAAACGTTGATCGGTTTGGTATTCGGTGTCAAAGAGCAGTCTGCTTTTTAAGTTGAAAGTTACTTTAGAATAATTAAGAGCAAAAAACCAAAAAGTACAGTGAAAATCTCATAAAAAAATAATGTTGATCCATACACTTTTCAATATGTCATAGCATTATAAAGTTAAAAATGTAAAAAATAAAATCGAGAATTTTCACACAATAATAGCATTCGGTAGCCATTTTCACCATGAAGATAAGATAAAGTCCGAAATTTTTTTTTTTCATGATAAAGCATATTACATTAGCTTTAATTTAAGATATATATAAAAGTGTCAGACCTTCCGGAACATTTTCAAAATTTAAGTTAAAAAAATTAATTTTTTGTGAAAAAGTTGTCATTTTAAATCCCCCCTTGTGGGCAGGTTAAGGGTTAAATTTATGAAAAAAATATACCAAATGAAAGGTAATGATATTATGCATCTATATAAAAAAGAATTATATTGATACGTTCATTTTTGAAAAAGTTATGGCACTTTTAAGTAAAAAAAATAGAAAAATTTCGAAAATTAGCGATTTTTAAATTTGTAATTTTTTTGGAGATTTCCCCCATTTACATGGAACGAGGGAATTTTTTTCAATTTTTGAGAGTAATGTCTTCGACTAGATACGATTTGTGATCTTTTGACGTATCATTGAAAGAAATCGGTTCGGTGAGAGCTGAGAAAAAGTGGTAACAGACACAAAAAAAAAAAATAAATAATAATAATAAACACATCTTAGTAAAACCAATACCTTCTCAGCTTCGCATCGAAGCTAAAAGTGGATTAAGACATAATCATTTGTTGCTGTAGAAAACTCATTTTAACTAAATTGTGCCTTACAAGAACCACTCACTATCGTATTAAGGTTCATTCTGACTTTTATTAAAACGAGTAGTTGTTAACTTCCTTCATATAACAAATGTTATAATTGTTTAAAGTGGAACTTTTATCATTTCTGTTAGTTATTTCTTTTTTAGAAATTCTATGTATTCTAACATTAAATCTGATTCACTGACTACAGTAAAAATTATTTATATCATTAAAGAAAACGCAAAAACAAAAGTTTGGTAAAAAAATCATACAAATTTATTTATTGATGCATTTTTCTTTTTAATTACACTTTGTTTTTAATATTCTTACATTTATAAATACTAGGAACGATCGTAAATGCCTCTTTTTCTTTTTATTATTGAGTACACATTTTCAGCATATATTAATAATTAACTTTACTTTTTTTTCATATCATACATTCACATCAATAACCGACACTTATAACAAAAGGAAAAACAATAGAATAAAAATAAAGTATGTAGAGGTTTTTAAATATGTTTCCAAATAATAATATAGTAAATAAACTGTTAAAATAAATGAATATATAGTAAGGAAAATACATAAAATTTGCATGTTATTCCTAAGCCAAGGAAGCCCTACTATGAATACCATAGAAAATTTTTAGTATTAAGACAATTTTACCTCTTGCTTAATACATATGTACATAAAAAATAAATAACTAAATTACAATTTCATTTCGTTTAAAGAAGTAACAGTTAATTGGTATTTGACAACAAATTTCAAAATAGATTGTTTATTATATATAACATTCAAGGTAAGAAAAAAAAATTTAAATATTATAAAATGTTTTTTAATCATTCTGTTATTATAAATTAATATTTTGTTTTTTTACACAACATAAAGTAATAAGAATATATATCGTAGGCGAGGATTTCATTTACTTTTAATTAAAATGATAAGAATACATGTACTGGGAAAAAAATTTTAGTTTAAACTTTCTTCACTTGACTAGTTCTCGATAATATTCTTGATGCAAGATTTTATGATGAGCATTAACTTTATAATTAAAGCGCTATAAAAATGGATACATAATTTATTAAGGAATAATAATAATTATAAATGCAAAGAAATAAAATTTTTAACTATCTAGAAAAAATAGTGTATAAAAGTAAAGTCTTTTTTTTTTTTAAATTTTGAACAGTGTCTCTCTGTAGAAGGATTGTTATCTGGTCATTTTGATGATTTATCGAAGTTGTTTACATAATAAAAAAGTTTTACATTAATTTTGGCGCCTAAAGGTGTTTCTAGGGCCGTCATTTTGGTTTCTATTGAAACTTCCACGACCACTTCCAGTTCGCATACCACCCCTTCCAATATTACTGTTATCTGAGTTTGTAACTGAACTTCTAGACTTATTTTTCTTTTCTTCTACATTTAGTTTAATATCACCATTTTCATCAGGAAACATGATAGGCTAAATATATAATATACATTATTATTTTATAATAATCATAAAAATAAAATAAAAGTATATTAGCTCACTATTATTAAATAGAAATATTATATGGAATAATAAATTGACATTTAATGGTTAACTGCATTTAATTTTTTTTTAAATCTTTTGATAAGAAAAATGTGTAAATTAGTTTTCTAAAATTTGGATATTGGATTGTAAAATTTTTTTTATCAGTACCTCCCCCTATAAGAGAAGTATATTTGATTACTATGAAGAAAATAAAAAGCTTTAATGTTTATCTCAAAATTTAAGTTAATAGAGAATAGAGTAAAAATAAAATGTTGAACATATAAAAATATAAAAATAATATAAATATTGTTGTTTTTTGAGAATTCTTACAATTTAATATTTAATTTTTCAATATATCAAAAATATAACTATAATGGTTTTTTAATAATTCAACTGAAAATAATTAAAATTCTTACCCGACTTTTAAGTACTTTTTGAGCAGTTTCAATGCTTTCAAAGATAACAAATCCAAAATTACCATTTGTTGATGGATCACCACCAGTCTTACTACCTCCTTTCATTATTCGTACATCCAAAAGGTTACCAAACTTTTCAAACAAGTTCTAAAAAACAATATTTGAGTTATTAAGTCAGATTTTTATATAAAATATAATATTATTTAAATTATTTCTCTTGGACAAATTCAATTGACATATTTAATAAATAAGAGCCACTTTTATATTTTAATTATAAAGTATGTGTGTAATAATGTGGAACCTATTTTAAATAATGTTTGAATAAGATTTTTAAAGAAAAAATGATTCCTAATTTTATCAAAGAATAAGAAAATTCTAATAATAGATGTTTCAAAATTATATTATTTTGGTTAACATCCAAACAAATTTCCAGTATTAATGCTCTCCTAAATTCTAGAATATGAAGTAACTATATTATTTCACATATTCCATTAAATATTTAGTGTTATACTGCTGTACATTACAAAAATTTATCTAGGAGGTGCAATATATAAAATTTACAATCTTGTAAATAATTTAATCTAAATATACCCTTAAATCGTTCTCTTGGACATTTGGAGGAATTTTTCCAATGAAAAGTTGCTGATCATCTGATTGGAACATGCCATTATATGATCCTAGTTGGTTTCCTCCTCTGTTTACTCTCGAATCATTACCAGGTCCATTATTATACCCTATTAAAAGATTTTAATAGTTATAATTTATTAACAAAATCATTTAATTTTGTGGATGTTATATGAAACAAACCATTGTCACGACTGTTGAAAGTATTACGATTAGATCTTTCATTCATATTACTTCTCCCACCAACACCACTTCTACTGTTATAAGTATTGTTACTTCTAGTATTCCTATTCATACTGTTTCTCTGTTCATATTGATTATTACCAAAAGTGTTGTTTGAGTAATCATTGTTTCGAACCTAAAAGATGTTCAAATTACAACTATTAACAAAATGAAAGATTTAAGAAGATTTTTTTTTTTTAATATTGAAACAATTAAGTTAAAAGGAAATACTCATCAAAATTAAATTATAATTATAGCTATTATTTAGAGCTTGTGAGGAACTATTGATTTTTTTAAAGGTTTTTTAAGTATCTATTTATAAATAAATCTTAACCTTTCTTAAGTAATTTTACATTAGCATCAATACTAACATGTACAATTTTTTGAAAAATCTCCAAAAAAATATAATAATTGTGTATATTTACAACTTTAAAAAAATTATCTAAATTTATCTTGAAGTTCAACCATAGAAATTTTTAAAAGGGCACTAAAGATTGTTAATTAGTGGTTTTTTTTTATCATGTTTTCAGATAGTATTTTTTTTTAATGAAAAAAAGTTATGGCAGTTTTAAGTAAAAAAATCTAGCACAGGGAGGGCGCGCCACAGTGGTGACATGCCATAGTTTTCACTGTGAAGACAATATAAAGTCTTTTTTCCATAATAAAGTATATTACATTAGCTTTAATTTAAAATATATATAAAAGTGTCAGACTTTACGAAACAATTTCAAATGTTAAATTGAAAAAGTTCTACTTTCTATATGCATTTTTCAGATTTGAAACCCCCTGTATATAGGGAAGTAGTCTGATTTAAAAAAAAGTATGTCGAATGAAAGATGTATATAAATACTACTTCTCATGAAAAAATTGTTTTGATCCATACATTTTTTAAAAAGTTATAGCATTTTAAAGTAATAAATGTAAAATATAAAATTGAGAATTTTAACACAAAAATAGCATTTGGTAACAATTTTAACCGTGAAGACAAAATAAAGTCCAAAATTTTTTTTTATCCATAATAAAGTACATTACATTAGCTTTAATTTAAGATATATATAAAAGTGTCAGAGTTTCATAAACATTCTCAAAAGTTAAGTTGAAAAAGTAAATTTTTTGTGAAAAAGTTATCATTTTAAATCCTCCCTGTGGGCAGGTAAAGGGTCTGATTTATAAAAAAAATACACCAAATGATAGGTAAAGACATTAAGCATTTATAAAATAAAATTATATTGATTTGTTCATTTTTAAGAAAGTTATGGCAGTTTTAAGTAAAAAAAATAGACAAATTTCAAAAATTAGCGATTTTTAAATTTGTAATTTTTTTGAAGGTTTCCTCCATTTACGGTGAACGAGAAAAATTTTTTCAATTTTTGAGGATAATGTCTTCGACTAGATACGATTTGTGATCTTTTGGCATATAGTTGAAAGAAATCGGTTTGGTGAGAGCTGAGAAAGTGGTAACAGACACAAAAAAAAAAAAACCACATCATAGTAAAACCAATACCTTCTCAGCTTTGCATCGAAGCTAAAACAAGATAGTGTCTAAAGCATGAAAGAATACATTTGAATAAACAAAACAGTTATTTATTAAAATTTTGAAATGGTGGTGTATCCAAGGTGGTTAAAGAATCTATAGCTCCTTCCCCTTTATAACTATTTACAGTATATGAATTTGGTGCTATGAAAAGTATGTAATAACTTATATTTTGCTTATTACTAATAAGCCAAAATCTTTAGTCCCCTCTTGAAAAAATCCTACATACGCGCAATACTGTTCAAAATAATAAACAAAATAAAATTACCTAAAAAATGTATTATTTAATATTCATCATAAACAAGCTTTTAAAAAGATTTTATAATGAAACATAGTTTCACCATACAATAATTAATAAAATGTCATAGGTTTTCTGAAGAGGTACTTGATAGATTTTTATTCTACTCCAAGGCTGATTGTCTATAATTAGAAAGTTTTCTTATTTAGGCTGATCTTTTAACCAGCAAAGAGTTACTATGATCAAATATTAAATTAGTGATTTTACTGTCAATACATAAACAACATTGTCTTTTAAGAAAATTTCATTGAACATTTAAAGGAAGAAATAGTACTCTTTAATAACTATTGATAAACTGTATTTGATTATACTTAATTATATATATTAAAAACTTACAGGAGAAGCTGACTTTGGTAAAGACGGAGATGAATAAATCTGAGCAGGTGTAGGCTGAGGAGTTTCAGAATGAGCTTCAGTAGATCTTCCACCAGATTTAAACAATTGGGCATACAAAGGTTTCGGTTGATCCCCAGGAGAAGAATCTAAAATTATTTAATTGAAAATTTAACAACAGAATTTTAATAGAAATAATCTTTTTTAATAATCAAACATGTGTACATTAAAATAGGTGACTTATAAAAACTGAAGTTTGAGAGAAAAATTATAATTTCATCATATTAAACTATGTAGGCAATACTTTATAGAATTGTATTGATTTTAATCCGAAAAAAATGTAACCAAAAAAAAATTTTTAAATTATAAATATTTAGGATGATTACTCAAAGGTAAATTGTTATGCTAGTAATTTTGTCATCATGTTTACAATAAGAGAATATTCCACTGTTTATCTATCAAAAGTATTCTATTGTATCATTCTGGGCACAGTAAAATACTAAAAAGTAAAAAATAATGAAATAAATAAGAATAAACATTTTAGAGCCCAGACAATTAAATCTTTTATTTTTCGTTTGATAAAAAAAAAAATAAGTTAAGGAGTTCAGGCCAATAACTTTGAAGCCCAGGGGGTCTATTTTTGAATTTTATATTGGTGTACTAATCTTTTTAGTATACTAAAACATGACGTTTCAGTGCAACTATTAGTGTGAAACTAAAAAACCGTAGTTTTGAATGTTGGTATGCTAAAAAATATTTATTAGTGTACTAAAGTTTTAGATGATCTTTTTAGAGTGGTATCTGCCACACTAATTATGATTTTAGTATACTAATGTTACTGTTATCATTCATATTTATATGAAAACTTATATATTTATAACGTTTTCAAATTTATTTAATATTAAATATTAAAATGGAACACTTTCTTAATATAAATTATGTGCAAGTTATTAGTAATTTAGAAATAGTTGAAGATAATGGCCATTCAACAATGAAATTTCGTTTAGCGGAGGATCCGATCATTGGTATGTTACAAAACAAATTACAATATGTAAAATTATCTATTTACATTAATAAAATGTTATTTTCTGTAGTTTTGTCCGAAAGGGCATTTATACAAAAATTTAGACTAACAAAAGTTCTTGCATTAAATTTAATTAATGAGCTACGTCCATATTTAGAACCCCCATCGAGGAAGTCTGCTCTAAGTATAGAGCGCAAAGTATGCAAAATATTGTACAATATTGACTAAACAATAAGTAAAATTTCATAAAATTTTTGTCACAATAGGTACTAACAGCTTTACGATTTTTCGCTAGTGTCTTCTTTGGGCCAACAGTTTCATTTAAAATCTTGGTAATATTTTACCATAATAATTGGGCATCTTTCATGGTAAAAGATGGTCCAAATTTTTTAGAATTTAATTTTGGGAGTTCTGAACAATTAATAATTGTTTTTGTTCATAAGTCACACTTATTGACTTTTTTTCCCCTCCATTGTAAAACATTACACAAATTGTAATAAAAAATACTGACAAAAAACTCATGACAAATTTCTTATGGGTAAATATTGTAGTTATCATAAATATTATCAAGTATTAACTATAAAATTAATATAAAATATAGTACAGCCAATATAATTTAACATATCGCACTAATAATTATTGGTTTGAAATGACATTAGATTAGACGATGTACGATTAGTGCAAGATTTTTAGACTGATAAAAAATAAAATTCAAAAATACGAATTTCCATTAGTGCACTAAAATCATAATCTAATATTTTAGTGTACTAAAACATTCGCCAATGATTAGTCCAAGCTCAAAAATAGACCCCCAGTGGATCAAATAGTCTGCTTCTGATGAATGCATAAGTTCATATATAATTCAAATGTGCAGTAAAAAATATTTAGCTTAGTTAAAATAAACTTAAAATTATTATTTTGTTGAGTTATTTTGTAAGTACTATTCAATTAATTTATTTCTTACTTTCAATGTTTGATACATCTTTTTTGACAGATTCTTGGTTTTCTTTAGGATCTACATGATTAGATGTAACAGTATTTGTTTCATCCGATTTTTGAATTTTTGGTTGTTCCATAACTGGCGACTGATTATGATTATATGGTTGGGTCCTGGATACATTATTATTTGGTGACTTTATTGGAGCTGAGTTTTGTACTGGGGCAGTAACAGTTGGCTATTAAGGAAATTAATGGTTAGTTTGTATTTCTCTTAAGAATTAAATACACATAAAATTTTAAAGTTATAAACTAGAATATTTGAGATATGAAAACATTCTATATTAATTGTAATTAATCAATTATTCTAATTCCATTAAAAACATGAGTCAAAATAATAATAAGTATTTAAAAGACAGTGTATATTTTTATAATAAATAATAATAATATAAGAATTGGAACCAATGTGACACAATGGACAAATCATACATGTCTTATAATTGAAGTTTACATTAGTTGCTGCTAGTCCTAGGAGGGTAACCACTTTAGAATTCTAGCAACTACCATGCTGTACTTCCTAAATATGAAAAGTAACACTGTTAAAAAGGATAACTGAACTGGGACATAAAAAAACTCACTTTTAGTCAATAATATAAGAATTGTTAAGAATAAGTAGCTAAAATATAAAAATTAAGACTTACTATGTGTTGTTGAACATGAACTGGAATTTGTTCAGGTGGAAGTTGCTGAATTGGAACAGGAGTTGGTAAAATATTCAAACCAACACCATTCAGAGCCTGTCCTTGATTGGAGTTATTGTAATAGTTAACTTGATGTTGTGGTTGTTGAATAACTGAAGTTTGCTCAACTTCTATGTTTTCTTCGCCGTCAGACTGTCCAGAGTCAGCTTCTTCATTCATATCTTCTTCATTTAACATAACATCCTATACAAATTTTTAACAAATGATAATTTTTTTAAACTTTTAACACAATAATACAATATTAAATATAGTAATTTTACAATACTCATACAATATATTTAAAAACAATTAATATAAAAGTAAATAGTAAATATAGAAATTAATAGTACCTAGGTTCTATAAAAAAAAATCCCACCCTTAAAATATTGTAAACTTGAGTTTTTCAATTAAAAATATGTTTAACTAGCTAAAAAATAAGAAAATTATCATACTAAAAATAACTGCTCCTTATTACAACTTATAAACCAGTATTTTAAGATATTAGCATTTTTATACAAGGTAGGATGTGTAGTATGGTTTATTAATGCCTACAGATAGAAATAAACAAATCACTTCCAGTCATTAGTCTAAGTTAATAACAATCAAATTACATTTCCAAAAATTGTTATCAACCAATCATTTTATAAAAATAGAAGAGATAGATCAAATTGTTTTCTGGAAATTATAAAAAGTATGATATTTTTAACTTATGAAAAATAAAAATTCTACTATATTTTATATTGTAATATTAGTAATATAAGAAATTGTGTTGACCATAGTTAAACAATATTCCTGTATGCACTATCTCTCTATATAACTAATTTATTGAACAATTTTTAGCTATAACATCTCGTTAAGATATTTAACACTACTTTAAAAATTCTTATCCATGAACATTCAAAATAGATAATCAATGAAAAAAATCAATATTTTTCATGGATAGGAGAATTATTCAACCAATATATGTATTTATAACGTTTTGAAAGATAAATATTCATCAAATTAATTTAATACCTGATAACGGAAAATGTCATTGTGAACATAATACTTCTTAGGAGACTGTGCAGCCAATACAAAAGTTTGGGCAAAACGACGCATTGGCTGTCCACAGTTGGACAACTCCCCAGTAACATGAACTACAACACCATTACCAAGAGTGTTTTGTGAATCAACTTGTAAGATTTTAGCATGACAATCGCGAAAGTTTAATTCAGTTACTCGTTTATGTATATCTTTCTGACCAATACTAGGTGTCATATCACGACTATATGGTTCTAAACCACCATGCACAAAATATGACTCGCTGCTATAAAACCTAAAAATTGAAATATACTTTTAACAAAATTAATAATTATAAATAAATAAGAAGTACAACATTTTTAATATTCCTGCTGCTACTCAATAGGAATAAATAAGAATTTTCTTTGTTTATATGCAATTGAAACTAAGAATAAGAATAATTGATAACCAATAATAACAATAAAATATATAGGAAAACTCATGTAAAATAATTTAAATTTTCATATAGAATAATATAATTACCTGTGTAAGTAATGTGGAGATTGATTCAACATAGTATAATATTGACGAACAAATTCACGGCCCACACTTTGTGGGTTAGGACAACTATCAGAAACCATCTTATATTGTTTGTTCACTCAAAGATTATCAAGCATCAATTCTTTACAAGTAAAATATCTGAAATTGTTTTAATTGAATTATTATTTGTATGGAGTAGACAATTATTAATATAATTGATAGTTTATCAAGTATCATTAAAAAATACTAACAGAAAATGATTAAATTTCTTCTTACAGAAATTCTGTTATTTATAAATTCATTATTCCAACATAAATTAAATGACAAATATAAAATAATTTAAAAAACCTAGTCACTATAATTAATTATATGGTTTTAAATATTAAATAATACAAATTTAAAAAAATATAAATTAACCAAATACCAATAAAACTAGAGGATTTAGCAAGTTGATGTAAGTTAAATTTTACTTAAGTAAAAATTCCATAACAAAACTAGCCACTAATGTAATATGAATATTTACATCAATTAATTATCAGTATTAATTCACTAAAAAATTATAAAATTTTTAGCTATTTAAATGAGCTTTAATTAAGTATTTAGATATTTAATTTAAGAATAAAATTTTTACTGAAGATTGAAAAAATAAATAAATTTTAGAAGTTAGTTAAACATATTTAGGGAAAGCTTATAAGCAGCTAAAAATAATTACATTTGTAATAATAAAATATTTATTATAAGTTGTGACCAAGATACTAACATTATTTTATCACAAATTAAAAGTAGTAAATTGAATACTTATTAATAATTAGGTGCCCTTGAATTAAAAAATTAATTCCCCAAAAGTTATTATTTTTTAATTATTTCACGATAGTGTATTTAATTTATCAATATTTATAAGAGATTAAGGTAAATTGCCGGTCGTTTAATTAAAAAATCAACAGTTATTTAAATTTTAAACAGAAATAAATTATAAGATAGTTATTATTCCACAAAACTAAAAATGTTTATCAGAGATTATGAAAGAATATCAAAGCATGCCGTGGCAAAATATTTATGTATTTTTTAGGGTAAAATATAAGACCTTGAAAAATAGGTAACAAACATGATGATAAACGTGATTAAACAACGTGTTTTTGAACAGAATTCAAATAATTAAAAATTTGCTATGCCTTTTGCAATGATTGTCATGGGTGCACTTCCGAGTTTGGTTCGAGTATCTTTGATACTTAGTTACTTACTAAAACTTGATGAACCACGGGGTCTAGGCGAGTATGAAAACGGCGCCAAATGTTTATAAACAAAAGAAAACTGTATCGTTAAGATAACGATGTATTTCTAATTTAGACGTAAACCGAAAGTTTTAATAAAAAAAAATTCAATAATGCTAACACCACACACGCAACCGAACTAATAATGCGACGAAAGCAAAAGATTGCCTCGGATAGAAGAAAAAATTCAATTGTAAATCAAGTGAAAAACCCGTATTGAAATCAACATTGGAGACAACAAAAAAATAACCCTTCACAAACTAGTGTCGGCTATATTCGGGTGGTATCGCATGTACCGCGGCCCGCCGACTTTAGTTTGATAACAGTGTATACAACCTTTTATTCAACAAATTCTACCAACTGTGAAACCATTTTTACGATAACATATACTACAGAGTAGCCTTTTCACCGAAAATCAATCAAGGCAAGGTGACAATCATGGTCCACAAAATTTCAGAAGCTAATGTACATTTGCAATTACTCTTCTTATTATGCTCATGATAAAACGTGTATAAACTTAAACTAACCCTATTATATTATTTAAGTAATATTGCTATAAATTATATAATTTGAATCAATTAAGTTTATTTAAGAAATAATTACTGGTTATTAAATATACTTTGTTGGAAGTAGTAAAAATTGTTTTATAAATATAATTGACATAATTCTGGGTATATCACTACCTTTATATCAAGCTTAAAAAGTGAACCATGGAAAATTATATATAAATAATATTATTCTCAAATAATTTTAAATATTATAAAAACAACTTTAGATTGATTATTTGGGCGTATAAGTAACGAAAAGTTCATTGATTTTATCACAAAATGTCTTCCTTTTACAAAAATATTGCCAAAGAAATTAGGATTAAAGAAGAATGTTTTTTCTTTATGGCATAAAATTCATAAATATCTTTTAACACATGGCGGAGGGCAACAACTATTTTCAAGAAAAAAATTGTTGCCCAAAATTTTTTTACTATAATAATATTTTTGCTTTCATTAAAATTAAATTTATTTCAACAATTGTCTTTGGGAGTTCTTTTAATATTGAACAAAAAAAAAGTAAATTTATAATTTATCGATTCACATTTTTCACATTTAAATGAACATACAATTTCTTTTCTATGTAAATAAAAATCACAAGTATTCCAATTACTTGGATCCAAATTTAAAAAATTAGTATTGATATCGACTCGTTTAAAAAATTGCATACTGCTCTTTGATAAAAAAGAAACTACAGTTTTTTCTAAAAAAAAAAATCAATCACTCAAAATAGTCATCAATATATAAAAATATCAAAAATTATTATACCTTAGATACTGTTAGTTATCATCTGATACATTATAACACTTATTGTGCAATGCGGCGATAATACTATGGATTGACTGGATTAATGTATTGTAATGTAATGTAATAAAACATTACAAAATTGAAACTTAAAAATATTGACAAAATATAAACAATTTATGAATTATTTAGCCTGGTGGTAAAGTAATTGTTGCCCCATAAACGCTATTTTCACTGGCTATGTTACTCTTTTTATCACATTTACTATGCAAGTTGTAAATGCAGGTTTGTTCATAGAAAAAATTTAAAAAAAATTGTATAAATGCAATATTTTTGTATTATGTGAAAAAATAAACTACTTTAATACCTATAACTTTGTACTTTGCTAAATAATGCAGGTTTATGAATAAAATTGAGGGAATGACAAATTGATTTTCCCCTTCTTTTTTATTTTATAAAATACATATAATTATCTTAAAATTTCAGAGAAACTAAGTAATTTTCTCTTCGATTTAAGTCTATGCATTTGCGACGAAACTAAAAGGCGCATTTTTAAATTTCACTCCAAGCGCAATAAATTGTTTTAATAATACTTTATGATGAAAAAAAAAGAAATTTTAACCAATTATTTAAAAAGTGTTTAATATCTGAGTGAAATTTTAAAACATAGCAGTTGTAGAATTACAAATATACAAATTATCGTTAAATTTAATAAATACTTTGCGAAGCTATTTTATAATGATGTTAATCAATGTGAGTTATATTGTATACTTGTGTCCAACTATACGCTTCTTCAATGTATTGAGTGTTTTCAATTAAGAATTAATGTAAATTTACGAAAAAATTAAGGTTTAAAAGTAATGTTTCTTAAGACCATCACAGCCCTACATGTATTACAACTCTACACACTCAATTAATTAAAAAATAAAAATAATTTCGAAAATATTTTTTTGGTCTTTATTAGTTATAAATATTTTTTGGGTTTATCAATTATTAATTACTTTTTTTGTTTATTCCTTACATCTTACAAGGGTATTGGCTTTATTTTTTTGAATTGGAACAAACATAACTAACTTGTAAATTGTTATACTAATATTTGAGAAAATAATTTTAATGCTCGATAACAATTTTTGAATTTGTAGTTTGGAAAACATTAGCATTTTAAAACGTAGATTGGGGAGGTTAAGCGCGAATATGATTATTTTTATTACTATTTATTTCTTAGATTTCACGTAAGTACATTTTTTTTAAATTTATCAATCATTAAGTATTTTTTATGATCATCCTTATACCTTATGGTATAAGGAATAAGTATTGTCTGGAGATGAGAGAGGGGTGTTATTTTTATCACTAGTTATTTTTTGGCCTCAATTCTCTTCCCAAGGTATTAAAATGCAAATAAACTTCTGAAAAACTGATCAAAAAGTTGTTGTAGAATAGTCATTTTCTTAAAGTTATATTTTATAATATAGTTAAATATCGTATGTATGTTACCATTTAAAAAATGGCCTAAGGGATACTCAATTTTACTACACAAATAATGTTTTAATTTTGTTAATCAAACATTTTTTTTTATTTGAATGAGCAAAAAAAAAATTTTAACTATAATTTATATTGCTTCGTATTTTAGTAACCCCCAAGGACAAGTGCAATCAGTGCCCTCCCTAAATACAACCATGTAATTAAATAATAATATGACTACTAATAATCAATTTATTTTTAAATATATTAGTACAAACCAAAAGTAATTATTTAGGTCTTTTTTAATTGATATCATCGAAATAAAATCATAGTTTAGTAAGTTAATTATCTTTTGACTTGATAAAATCATCTGTAAGATAATGATAACAATATCATTACATTAACAACAATAGTGATATGTGAAGCAAAATTATTTCTTTACAAATTTTGTTTACTTATATTTATTTTAAAATATTTGCACCATTAAAATCTTATAAATAATATTAATATTCTAATCTTTATTTAAAAAAAAGAATCAAAATAATTGATACTATAAAAATTAGGTTAAAATATTTTTTATTATATAGGGCTGTAATTTTAGTTTTAAATAATTATGACTTTATTTATTCATACGCTTAGACATTATTTTTATAATAACCTCTGCACTCGACTATTTTGGTGGAGAACTAAACAATCACATGGAGTGTATGACATAGTAAGTTTAGGTAATATAAGTCCACCAAGAATTGTTCCACAATATGTGACACTACCTTCATATGCAGAAACTGGAGAAGTTTTTGATGAACCTGATTATAATAGTCCTCCAGAAATAAAATCAGGAGGTCAAATTTTAATGATGAGACAAAGTTGTAAATTAGCTAAATTTGTTTTGGATAGTACTCGAAGCCTAATGAAAGTTGGCATTACAACAGATGAAATTGATCAGTTTGCCCATAATCTAATAATTGACAATAATGCATATCCGTCACCTCTTAATTACAAAGGATTTTTGAAATCTATATGTACTTCTATAAATAATGTAGTATGTCATGGCATACCTGATGATCGACCATTGCAAAATGGTGATATTATATCTGTTGATGTTTCTGTTTATTTAAATGGATTTCATGGAGATTGTGCTGCAACATATTGCATTGGAGAAGTCGATAAATATGGTAAAAAGTTATTAAGTATAGCTGAACAATGTATGTATAGTGGTATAAGTGTTTGTGAACCTGGTAGAAGTTTTTCAGATATTGGGAAGGCCATAGAAATGCATGCAATTAAAAATGATCATCGTGTTGTTTCTTGTATTACTGGTCATGGTATAGGTACATATTTTCATGGTCCTCCTACAATATTTCATACAACATTAAATAAATTCTCTGGTGTAATGAAACCTGGTATGATTTTTACTGTTGAACCTGTAATTGTACAAGGAACTGAAAATGTAGAATTTTTAGATGATGGTTGGAGCATTGTAACAGCTGATGATTCTAGAGGAGCACAATTTGAACATACTATTTTGATAACAGATACGGGATATGAAATTCTAACTCTTTAAATAATTTTTAATTTATTTAATATTATCTAAAGGTCTACATAGATGACTAAATACAATAAACTCTAAGTTATTTTTAATGTTTTAAGCTATGTATGTTATATTCAACTGAATATGTTTAATCTCTATTGTAAGAATTAATATATTTATTTTATATCTCAAATTGTTCTATAACTGATTGCAAGCAATAATTTAAAAGGTATGTCAGTTAATTCTTAAAAGAAAAATTTAATTTCTGTCCTTACATAATAGAAAGAGTCAATGCCCCAAATAATCATGCAATATATTAATAAGTTTATCTGTTCTATTTACATAGTTTACAACACCAAAAATTAACAAATTGGATTAGTAATCAAATCAATGTTGAACAAAAACACTGTTTTTTTAACCAAAAACGTTAGCGATTTTTAGAGATTTATCCAAAAAAATCCAAAATCTACCAGGTTTTTTTTTTTAATTAAACCTTTCTCAATAATAATTATTTTTATGGCATGAATAATAGACATAAAAAAATTAACATATGATAACACCAATAGCCCTTAAACTCTACATCGGAGCTATAATATTGTGATTTTTTAGCATTTTAAAATAGTTATTACAATAAAAATCAATAGAATAGTTTATTATTTTAAATAAGAACAATGTTTTTTCTGAACAAAGTTTTTTAATACCTAAAGAAAACTTGCAACAAATTAGTTCCCCTAAATTAAGTTTTATATTTCTTGGTATTAAGCATAGTGATCTTAGTAATGTAATTAATTATCATATTCTTAGTTTAAACTATTCGTTTTTCTATTAATCACATCCTTATTAATGAACATGATTTTCGACCTGACCGTTCTACTACCACCTGTAATTCAGTTCTTACATTTTTTTATATTTGATTCCTTTTACCACCACTGTCAAACAGATGTAATATATACTAATTTTTCGAAGTCATTTGACAAAGTAGATCACTGTTTTTTTATAAAATGTCCTTAGTATTAATGACTCATTTTTATCCTAGTTTCCTCATACTTGTCAAATCGTCTTCAATTTATTTCTATCCATAATTTAGAATCTTCCTATTTTTCTCCTTCATTTGGGGGTTACATTGGGTGCTGTTTTATTATCACTCCAGTTTGTTCTGTATATAAATTTTACTACCTCTGTTACTGGTCACTTATTTTTAAGCTGATTATATGAAATTGTTTATGCATGTTCAGAATTTACAGATACTGATTGAAAAAGTCAATTCATGTCGTCTTGTTGCTTAGGGGAAATATTTAGGACTTTCTTTAAATGTAAATACATATCACATATTACCCATTAATCAGTGCAAGAATACAATACGTGGCTTAGGTTTTATCTTTTTTAAAAATGTATCTCCAGTTGCCCTATTCAAGATAAATACAGTAAAGCACTTAAACTTATTAGATTTATAAACTGCACTTCTCAAAACTTCAAAATCATAATTTTTCTGGAAACTCTCTTGTTCAATCAATCACCAAGTATAGTAATATACTTTGTGATTCTACTTTTGAAGTCTCTAGTTCCGTTTTACAATAAATTCGTAGATCTTTTAACTTGGGTTCTTACGAACTTAATATTTCATACCAGTGGCGACTTTTAAGAGAAGCATGCCCCCTTTAACTTATAGTACGTACTGTAATATAATACATCCCAGAAAATGTTTAAGTTATATTTTTACTCATAATTCTTTTGAAAGAAAAATTGGCTCTCCCAGACAAAAAACTAAAACCCCTCCTGCTCCTCACGACTATTTCTCTATGATTTTACTGCTAATCATCTCAAATTTATTTGACCAAAAAAGTATTATTAACCTTTCTCTCCAGCCTATTACAAAAACTAATAAAATGGTCTTAACTAGTTATTAATCAACATTTTAAAATTTAATTAAAAAATACATATAACCAATAAAATATAAAGCTTTAATTATTTGCATAACACATTTATTATCATTTAATGAAATAATTGTTCAAGTCTGAATTCACAAGTTAATTTTGTACTGCCTTAACTAAATATATATTTTTGGGTAACTTCTTGTGTTTGATTATCAGTTCTTAGTAATTTATACTGGTCAAATATATATCCAAACAAAAACAATAATTATAAATAAAAAATATTAAGTTAAAACAACAAAAACTTTGTTACACAACTAATGATTAAAATTTAAAAATAAAGTAGTATAAAAATATTGGTTTTCAAAGTCAAAAATATGTTATCAACAATATAGAATTTAAAATATACATCTGTTTTAAAAAGGTAAATTTTCAATATAAGTTCTGTAATATCACAATAAACTTAATTCACAATTAAAAAATCAATAATAAAATCAACAATAATAAATATTAATAAATAAGCAAACATATTGAACACTTTAAAATTGAGTCTTTACGCAAAAAAAAAAAAAATCATATATATATATATACTAATAATTAAAAACAAAAATCATATAACCAATATTGAAACACATTGAGAAATTACAACAATAAAAAATGATATAATATAAAATCAGTTTAAAACATAGTTAGGTTCGTTGTGATTATGATTATAACATGTAGTTCATGACAGCACGCAAGATATACAACAATTCTGATTGCATCCGTGCTTCCATTATCATAAGATTTATATGAATCTGAAATATTTTATTAATAATTAAATTAATAATAAAAGAATACAAAACTTTTTTACAACACAACAAATTAAATTAAAAATGAAGTAAAAAAAAAAATTAATTAATTTGAAAAACAAAGGAAAATGTCTATTTACATCAGTAAATACAGGTGTCAATGATGTCATCAATAACTATAAATAGAAGCATTTAATATTTTGGCAAGAGACAAATTTATCATATTAATCATTAACTGTTTAAAAAATGAGTTTCATTAAAGTTTTAAATTTGCAAATCAATAAAATTAGATGTCAAATTTTTGAAATCCAATAAAATAATTAGACATTAAAATATTATATTTGTTTATAACTCTATATGCCAAATTTATTTTAAGAATTAAAAAATATTGAACCAAGTTCATTAGATCTTTTATATTTGGATATTAAAATAACATTTAAAAAATTTAAGCAAAAGTCCTTGAAATTTTTTTTAGAAATATTTAGTTTAATAATTTCAACTGTAAATTTTACTACAATTTTCAGCTTTAAAAAATTACCTTTTCACTTATATCAAAATGCTTCAAAGCATTATCAGAATGTGATACATTTAACCTTTCTGGATAGCATGCTGCTGTTTTAACAAATACCCTAAGAGGATTAGTGAGAAGTTGTGTTACTTCTTCATAATCATAATCATCATTTCTCATTCCATAGATGCAATAAATATAGTTCCAAATTGCTCTGCGAAACCTTGTAGTATCAATATCATGACGACCCCCCATTGTGTAATATGTCATATTATATGCAGTCTTGAATTTCTTATCTAATAATAATCCAATGTCATTAAACAAACGGTTTATTAATGAAAATCCATGATGGTCCCATGAAAATTCCTTTTAAAAACATAAAATATAAATACATTTATTTGATAAGTATATACAAAATAATTAAGATAACTGAATTGTAAATTTTGAAAAATATATCAGAAAACTTAAAATATTGTAACTTTTGTCAGTATTCCAATAAAAAAAAAAATTGTTAATATGTTACAATGTAACACAGAAGTTTAAAGTTATTAAAAATATACTGCATAATTAATTGTAATAGTTTAATTTATTAAATTTCTAATGTCTTTTCAAAAATTATGATTGAATTAAATTAAAACATCAAGAATATTAGGAATAAGTGAGATAATTGTATATAAATTTTTTTGGATATATGCAGACATTTTTATTTTAATCATACATTTTATATGATAGAAATACACATAAGAACCAAAACACTTCAATCTAAAATAAAATTTACTAAATATTCAAAAAAAAAAAAAATACAAAATTTACAATTACCAAATTTACTTTACCAAATACTAGTTAATTGAACTGGTATTAAGCCATTATGAGTCTTGATATAGAATACAATGTTAAATACAATGTACATGTTAAAGATAAGTTTCAATAAATTTATTCATTAAAAAATAAAATTTAAGTACCTGCAATATGAATAATGATTGTTGAGCAAACTGTCGACGTGAGCAATCTAAATATGTATATCCAGAGTCTTCAACAAAAGGCCTTACACTTGAATCTAAACTATTATCTGAAGAAGTATCACTTTCACACAATTGACTTTGCAAGAGTTCATAACGTTGTATACGTTCTTGTTCAGAAGCTGGTAAAACATCACTTAACTTTTTCATTCTTTCCATGATAGGTTCAAGGCCTTCATCATCAGAGAAGTCTTCAGTAGAATCTTAACATTATTTTAAACTTTATATTAAAGAAAGTTCAACCATTTCAATGTTATAATATCTAGATTTTTTTTTTTCAGATTTTTTAGCAAGATGTTTTTTAAATAATTAGAACTAACAAAGTTTATTACTAAAAGAAAATTACAATGAAAAATTTTTTATTAAGAATAAAATTTCAAGGGTTTTTAGAAAAATTAATAAAAGATAAATACCAGGAAAACATGCCTTGCTACTTCGTCTATAATTAGCTACTTTTGGAGCTTTTGGTATCTCATCATTTAAATTACATGCAAAAACAAAACTACATAGACTATGAAAGTGCACAAGTAATATAATTGCATGAGCCAAATCTGACATAGACCAAGAGTGAGGACCTTTAACAACTTTCTGGAAAATACATTAAAAATATTAAATTAAAATTTTATTATATGATTAATAAGAAAAAAAATATTTTAAACCTTAATATCTTCTTTACTTATTAGCCATGGTCTATGTGCCAATATTTTGTTTATTTCATACAGATTACGGAGTTTTCTTGGAACATGAGCCAGTCCATTCAACCAATTTGGATCACCATCATGTTCCAAAAATTGTTTTTTATGAAAATTGATAAGATATGTACACTTATGTCGGCCTGCAGCCTGAAATTCAAAGTAATTTTAAAATATAGAACACATCATATGTACTTATAATCTGTTCATATAATCAAGTTTTAATTCAATTATCGTAGAGATAAATAGTAAAAAATTTCGGAGGTACTAACTATAACTTTTTGCTTTTAAAAAAAAATGTTTAAGTAACCATAAACATTATTTTTCTAAATATCTGGGAGTTTTAAGTAGTCAAGGCACCTTTTTATTTATCAATAATACAGAGTTAAATATAAAAATTTCTAGAACTATTAGTTACAAAATTAAGAAAGATATTTTCTATCATAAACTGAAATTTGTTGTCCGGAAATGCTTTTAAGAAGTCTTTTCTGTGAAATATTCTTTTTCATTATTATTTAGCATTAACTGAAAATTAGTTGTTTAAGAAATTAAACTGAAAATATAATAACACTATAATATTAAATATCTAATTATATTTTTAAAATACCATTTAATAAGAGTTTTCATAAAGAGATTTACTTTCAAGAATATAAACTTTTTATTTAATCTAATTCAATTTGATTCAATCGTGCTTATAATGAAACATTAGTGTAACGAAGCTGATTTCGAGAAAAAGCATTACAAAAAACAAGATAAATAACTTAAAAAATTTGATACCCCATAAGTTTAATTACCATTTTTTAAATGTATATTAAAATAAAGTCAACTTTTAAAAAAGTACATTAATAACCTATGATTTTAAACAACTCAATAAGTAGTATTTAAAAGTTTATACAGTTCCTATCAAAAAATGAAAATATTACTCATGTTTAATTACTCATTTGACCTTAATAGTATACTATTATTTCTAAAATTGACTCAAAAGAAATATTTTTGTTATTTAATAACAAATTAAAATTAAAACAAAAACTACATTTCAACTACTTATCTACTAAAAAACTAGACTTTAATGATATGATGTATCTTCTAAGTCAATTTTTACAATATACGCTATATCGTTTCAGTAAGCATAAAATTACCTTGATTATGTAAAAAAAATTATTTATTCACTGATTGTTAAGTAATAAATATTGATACATTTTTCTTACCATAATAGCAATATAATGACGATACTGAATAGGTAAAGGTCCTTCTCCATATATAATAAGTTCCTGCAGCCCAAGAAATGTTTCAAAATATGTCTTATGAAATTTCATAATATTGGTAACATGACCCAAACCAAAAACTGAACTAGTATTTGACAAGAAATTTTCCATTGCTATTTGTTCCTAAATTCAAAATATAAATAATGTATATATTATGACATCACTTCTAGAAAATTATTTGCTATAGCATTACGTATTTTAACATTAATTAACTTTAAAGTTTGCTACTATATCATTATATGTAGAAAACATAATAATAGAAGATTAAAAGGGATAAAAATGAATCAAATGGAATATAATGATATGTCCTTAGGCCAATCATGTTTTTATAATTCCCAATACACAAAAATTTAGATGTTTCTTATAAGCTAATTCACAATATCAAAACAAAGGACTATTTCTTAGAAAAAAAAATGCATTTTTAGATATTTAACTTTAAATATTTAATCTCTTATAGGAGTTACTTTGAGTATTACTTTCATTTAAATTAAATTAAATTCAAATTTCACAGATAGAATCAGCACATTTAAATAAGTAAAATATAAATTAGTACTTAATATACAAAAGTATTACTACTATATTTTTAATAGACATTATTTTACAAACCTTAATAATATAATTATAATAAAAATTTATGTTTCAATCAAAATATAGTTAAGTAACAAAATGACATGTGCTAACAGGAAATATTGAAAAATATGCTGTTATAAACTATTAAACATTAAAAATTAAATTAAATAATTGAAAGAAAAGCATTAATCTAAATATAATTGTGAGATTGATACACCAATCTCAAAATTAATCATTAGAACAATTAATTACATATTTAATTTAAAGAATATTTATACATTATTTAATTAAATAAATGAAATTAATAGCAAAAAAAAAAATTACTAAAAATCTCTAAATGAGTGCAAAACAAATATATCTTATATAGATTTATTACAAAGCTAGGTTTTGTTATTTCACTTACAAATTAGAATGAAAAACAATCAATAATTTTCTATTCTATAACCCATGCAAGATTAAAAAATTGAAAATTATATGAATAAGCACACCACTTAATATATCTTTATTAAGTTTAAATTTGACAAAGTACAATTTATAGTCTTTTTATTTTTTATGTATTTATAGAAAGGTAAATATTTGCAAATAATAATTTGACGCAAAAGAAAAAATATGACTGTTGATCGCTGATGAAGCGTTAAAATGTAAACATGAATGATGCAACTCACCGAGTGAGTATCTTGGTCTTCGATTTTAACCGAGTCTGCCCGATAATGACCACATACGTTGTCTGTGTGTCCAGTTTCTGATGTACAGCGACAACCATCATTTTCTGCCGCAAACTTACTTGGGACCTCCGTTTTAGAAGCGATAATTTATCAACTATATCGTAAAATTAGTAAAACGACAATGTCACTCAACTAACTGTTATAATTTATAACAATAGATCGTAACAATGAGCGAATTGGTCGTGGTCATAATACTAATTATAATGAAATTAAAAATCGAGAAAACCGCGAACTGGTGCGATTCTGTCGTCAACGCGAGAGTGCAAGTGTTAGTGTATTGTATAACAATTCTTTATGAGCACATAAATTTTAACAAACACTATCTTTTTCAACTTATCACGGGTTAAAAGTACAAATCACAAGTGCGCCATAATTGCAAGTAGATAATAAAGTCAGTGCGGACCCACGACGACCGTGAAGTTAGAAAATAATGTTTTCTCCCTACTTAAAATGACAATGGTTCTCTGATTTATGACGAATGATAGATTTGTAGGTTAGGTTTTTAAATCTAGTATTAATTCATTAGTCTTTTTAGGCGGGCTCATAAACATGTATAATAATATGTAAAATTGTTATAAAATACAACATTGCTGAGTTAACAAATAACGCATGCATGCTGTGTGTTATGTCAATGGTTAATGAATAAAGTGATATTACAAATGTATCGAAATTAAATTCAATGAACGCCAATTATTTTTCTTTTTCATAAAACATAGTTTAATTGTTTAAATTATTAAGTGTACTTGACAAATTTAAATTACTTTTACACTTCCTCAAATATTACTATTTACCAACAAACATTAAACAGTAAGATAATTGAAGATGTCATTTATTATGTAAATTTTTTTTGTTAAATAAAATGTTATATATTTATTTCATATTTTCTAATAAATGTTCTAAGTTTGAGAGAAAAAATATCAAAGGAAATGACATTTAATTTACATGTGGTTTCTCAATTTTTCACTAGTTGTATCAAACATTCGTATAATCTTTAAAACATTCGAAGCGGGAATGGCAAATATTCTTATAAAATCTGATCCATTAAATATTTAATAATTTGTTAAAAACTTAAGACAAAAGATGATATAATTTTATAAGAATAAAATTTTTGAGTGTTATTTTAACTTCTCTCCTAAATTATTTTTTTTTATGACTATCTATAACTTTCAAATTTGAGGAGGGGAGGATTTTTTGTTCCCAAAAAGGGTGGCGCCCGCCATAGTTACGTTAATGGATTTCACTTGAAATTTATCAATAATATTGAACTAAACAAAAAGATAACGTTTTCAAAAACAACTTTAATTCAGATAAAACAATAATTTTATTAAATGATAAGATTCAGATTCACTTTTATCAATAAAAAATCAGATTCATTTCAACTATTTTACTAGGTATTAATTAATATTTACCATTAAAGTTAAATAAGAATTAATATTCAGTTACAATCTGAGTTATAGATATAATTTTTAGTCGACTAATAAAATCCTAAATAGATATAGAAAACATGTATAGTATTAATACATGTTGGGTCGATAATAAATTAATCTACTTATCAATTAATATCTTTGGATCTTTGATCTTCTATTAATGCTTTCCAATTAAAGGTAATAATTGTTTGATTTAATTTGTCGATGTTTTAACTGTACAAAGAGCAAAATTATATCAATAAAATTTTACTTTATTTTATATAATTTTTTTATGAATACAAAATATCTAAAATTAAATAAATATTTAATAATTATAATTTGTAACAGTACACTTAAATGAAATTTCGAGTGTGTCGATTTCAAAATACTTAATTCTAGAACATACATATAAAAGGGCGTCAACAGATAACAAATTAGCTCCCCAATGAATTAAAAATTATATATATAATATATATATATTATACATTATATATATATTATATATATAATGTATTTTAGGGTAGAGATAAAATATAATTAGCTTACTCAAAAATGTTATTCTAATAGCCGTCTATGGGCTTACAAAAAAAAAAAAAATTATAGTTAAAAGATTTTTTGTTAGTTCTATATATTACATATAAGATTAAATTTCTTTTTAAATTTAATAAATAAAAAACAAACTTAAATATTTTTAATCTATAAATAAACAAATGCTCTTAATCTTAGTATTCATAATACAATTAAAAATAACGAAATTTTATAATACTTTTCAATTATGAAAATTCACCAAGCAAAAAGTCAAGAGAAGAAATGCCTCCTTTGCTTCCCCCTGTGGACTCCCATATATATAAACAACTAAAAGAATAAAAAATTTTATTTACTATGGTATTAAATAGAAACAAATAGAAGGTTGCTTTGTCTACTTAGTATTACAGGTAGATTTTATTAATTTAAAATATTACACGAAAAATATCGAAATTAAATACTTAATATTTTCCTTGTATAACGAAATTTTACTAGTTTGTTGGAGTCTTGTCTTATGTGGGTGTGTATATTGTTAATGTATTTTACATTAAACATATTAATATGTTTTGGTTTCAATGATAATAGTAGAAGTACTATAATTTTTGAGAAAAGACGTATATAAATAATGCTTATTTATAAGTAAATGAAAATAAGATTTAGTATATTATTTGGAGCAGAGCGTAAACATTTTATTTTGTGCCTATGAGTATTTGTTTAAACTAAATCTACAATAAAATAAATTGAAGTAATTTTTTAACTATATATTAATTTTAAATTGGTCTATGTAAGAAAATGTTTAAAAATGTGTTTTTTTCCATTAAATTTTAATGTATTACTGAATTATATTGTAATATGCATTGTGTAAGTCCATGTAACTGGTACCATAAGAATTTCGTTTACAGTTACTGCCTGTCGTCTTTAAATAACTATAGTTTCAACGTCCGTGTCCTTGATACTGGTATTCTATCAAATAGCATATTATAACTATATGAATACATGTTCACGTGGGCCAATTTTCGGGTAACTTAATATGTCATTTTTTTTTTTTGTGTCCCGTCATCATTATGCGATAAGATTTTATTTTTAGGTAGGGATATTTGTCTGTTTAAAAGTTATAATTAAGATTTATTTATTTTATCATTATAAGATATTTTATTTTTTTTTTTTTGTAAATATATAAGGGCGAACTTTGATCATTAATATCTTAAGTGGGATTATGAATTATGGATTTAGTAGGGTTAGTAGGTAAAATTTTTACTTAGTAATTAATAAAGCTGGACAAGTCATTGTTTTTTCAACTTGTTAAAATTAAGTAAATTGAAAAAGTTAATAATTAAAGCTAAATGTTTTTTTTAATAAATTAAGTTCTCCCTGTGGATAGGGTATAAGAATACATCCACGGCTCTTCTGCCAGTCGTAAGAGGAGACTAATGAGGTTGCGTCATGTCGACGGGCGGCGTAAAATTTTTGTCAAAAAGTATGAGGAGTCCTGAACAAAACTTAGGCAGATTGTCTTGGCCGACTCCAAGTAGTTGGGATTAAGGAGAGGAAAAGGAAGAAGAATAAATTAAGTTAACAAAATCTCATTAAAGCATTTGTAGTGTTTTAGTACAAAGAATATGTAGCGCTGTTGGAGCATGCATCATAAATATATACCAGTACGAACTGTACCCACCTAATGTATTAAAATGCTAAATAAATACTTATCCTAAAGTTGATATCAAAATTCTTTGTAAGAGTTAAAAATAGCTATTTTGAAATTTCAAAAAAGTAAATAAAAGTATATTTTAACGTTGTTCAAAATTATAAAAATTATTTAAAAAAAAGATATACAATTTATTCGCTGAATAAAAAATTAATAAAGATGTTAAAACCTGGTACACCACTATATATTCATAATGATATATTTATTATTTAGTACATTCTATTATTTTAATTCATAAAATGTGTTGTATTAAAATTGTCCTAGCTTGGTTTTTGAAGTATTTATCGAGGTTTAGCATAAACATTATAATATGAATAAAAGTTCATTTATTGCTTTTCCCATGATGTCGATAATAGTAATTTTGACATTATCATAATTTAATGAATATGTCACTGGAAATTTTTACCCAACAGAATATTAATCAAATATTATTATCACACAATATTGCTTATTTACAATTCAATAATAATGACTCAATTTAATTGATAATAAAATTATAATTATATTATTCGAAACTTGAAAATTTAACTTTTACTATAGACAATTAGAACCTTTTTATTTGATAATTACCTTGATTAACGTTATTTAATTAAAATTAATCTAAATATATTTATCTCATAAATTAGTTGAACATATAATCTAATTGTATGAAAGCATGTTTAGATAATTAATATAATGAAATAATTATTCCAAATTATTATAATTATTTGTAGAAAATTTTATTTAGAAAATAATCAACTTTCTAAGGGGGCAGTATGAAATGTCTTGTTAATCTTGAGAACTAATGAATTACGGCCTACTGAATTTGTTTTTTTTTTAACAATAGAGTGCTAACATAGATAAGGTACTATAACACATAAACGTTATTATTAATTATAAAATGATAATTATTAATATTTCCGACAAAAATATAATAAATTATTTTTTTTTGAAGAAATTTGATTTCTTGAAAATAACCCAGTCTATTCTTCAAGTGCCTTAGTCGGAATTTGATAAGCGGTTAAGACATTTGTATCATTGTAAACACGAAATTCTTTATAAATAAAAATGAAATGGAGTACAATTTAAATAATTTTTGGGTAGTAAAAATTATTGAAGTATATCTACCTAAATTAAAATCTGTTAATATATTTAAGGTTGTACTCTATACATTTTATTTTTTATGTTATCATCTATTAAAATATGTAGGGTCAATATTATTTATTTTATATGTGTAACTATTTCTAATATATTGTATGTACAATCGGATTAAACGCTTGAATTTACAATAAATATAATGAGAAGCAATCAAACGAATTAATAAGTGTTAAAATTATATTTCTAGATTTTTCCACGGCAAAAATAATTTTTTAATTATAAGTTTAACCTCTAGCTAACCTATTTAAGGAACACCTGTCAATTCTCTTAAACAAACAACTTTAGACTTATAATTATTATTAATGCCGGATGCGTTCCACTAGTTGAAAGTATTGATTGTACTTGCCCACAATATGAATTTTGTTAGGCACTATATGATACTTTATTTGCATTACCCATATTATGATTGATGCTTATCGTTAACTATAAGAGAAACTACAATAATTCATCAGCTGACTACATTACTGTAATGAATCACTAATATCTGTCATGCATACATTGCTGCTGTATTGAATTATAATATTGTTATCTAAAACTATATACTCAATACTGGTAAATAATTGTCATATGTAAAGATAGATATTATGGTTTTTATTTTCATAAATCGATTAGACTATCAT